CGGTTTCATTCAAGCCGATTTTTCAGTTTGATTCAAACCGATTTTTCGGTTTGATTCACACCGATTTTTCGGTTTGATTCAAACCGATTCTTCAGTATGATTCAGACCGATTTTTCGGTTTGATTCAGACTGAATTTTCGATTTGATTCAAGCCGATTTTTCGGTTCAATGCAAACCGATGTCGGCTGGACCCGTTTCTACTTACTTTTCAACTTATATCAGACCCGGAATTCGGATTGGCCTAGCCCGAGTCACTCGGTCTGAATCAAGCCGAACATCGGTTAGAATCAAACCGACGTCGACTTGAATCAGTACTTTTTTTGGATGTATCCAAGCATGGTTGACTGATTAATCCTCGTAATGATAACACTGTTCTATGCTGAACGGCCAAGACTGGGGCTGGGGCCTATTCTTGAATGGATCGGAAATATTTCCGTTAACCCTCGATCACTCGCTCAATGAGCGCGGCGTCGCCCGATTTTTTTTTATTTTAGCGTGTTTCTTGACGCTACAAAATTCTGAAAAAATTAGAGTTCCTAGTTCAATTCTTTCATTGAGCGTTGGCGTTGTCCGTTTCTTTCTCGAGAAATTTGTTTTGCTAGACAAGCAGCACGACAGAGGCCATTTAACAGATTACATATGACTGAACGGAGAGAAATATTCAATAAAAATTACATATCTTTTCCGTAATTCCGGAGCGAAATGTGGTTGTAGGAGATTTTACGTAACTGTCACGTAATTTTTACCTACAATCAGGGAATTTTTCCAGAGCCTTCCGTAATTTTTACCTGAATCTCCTGTAAAAAATTACGATACCGTCACTTAAATTTTCTGAGTCGATTCTGTAATCGGTGAGCGAACTGTGAGTTTCGTAATTTTTACTGAACATTTCTCTCCGTGTGCTACTCTCTATGTATTTTTTTTTCCTATTTGCATTTCTACCAATTTCATTGGTAGTGGGCTTCCGAAAAATTCTGACCCTCGTTAACCTTTTCATTCATAAATTTCACCTGAATGGATCCATTTTCTCTCACTTTATGAATATTCCTCTCTTGAACGTTACCCTCAAAGCCGTGCCCCTTGTTGGTACCGGATGAGATTCAGACCCTTATCAAATCTATTTGAAATCCATTTACAATGTTTCATTTCCATTAATGATTTTTTACTTTACAGTGGAGGGATCGATATTTCATGTCCATGGATATTCTCCCTCAGAATAAAGTGAAAATAATGTACTCTCCGGTGACAATCGAAAGTGGTCCCATCGCTCTGAATTTATTCTACAATTCTTTGTTGAGATATTTAACGAATAACGACAAGCTGAGAATTAATTCAAAGAGTCAACCACTAATCAATCCTCACGATGTAAGACATGAAAAACTTGACTTTGTTGCATTCATTCCACCGAAAACATTCTCCTCTGCTAGTGGCAGCACAGGATTGTTCATCAGAAGAATGTAAAAAACTGGGAGAACGCAGTGATTATAATCACATTATTCCTCATACTCCCCACTATAGAGCTGGGAATAACAGAAGCAAGAGGCTTAACGAAGCAATTACAATTCAACACTCATGGAGTAACTCCCCTTATGTACTGGATGTCGATTTACCTCGTTGACTTGATGATCTACGTACTTTCACTTTTGATCATTTCAATTGCGAGTTTTACTCTCTACCATCATCGAGATTCCATTTCAAGTGCAAATATGGGTAAGATATTTTCCTGCGAATGTTCCACCAGCTGCATCACGTTATTCCTTAATTTTCTTCCTAGCCCAAGGGTTTTTAATCCTGTTTGCCTATGGGACTGCTGCAATCTACATGGGATATTGTATTCAAGTGGTCATTCGTCAGAGAGGAACTGTCTATCTCACCGTAGTTGCTCTTAATTTCTTAACAAGTTAGACATTAACACACTTTTTCAAAATAGTGAACGTTGGTTCAGCGACAAGTGCTGAAGCGTAACAACACCCAAAAAAGTCCACTTGAATCAGTACTTTTTTTCTTTGGGTGAAATTAACAAAAAAAAGATTAATAATAAATGAACTTTGCATCTAAAAAATTGAGGAACTTTTACCGATTTTTTGGATTCGCCTTCGAGAAGGTGTTTTATTCGTTGTATGAATGAAATGAAGGAATAATCTTCGATATGATTAGTCTTGAGTGATTTTAAATAGTGACGAGACGAGACGAGACAAACGAGACGAGACGAGAAGAGTCATTCGAGACAATGACAGAGACGAAACGAGAACAGTCGGTCGAGAACGAGAGAAACGAGAGTCGAGAGAGCCTTCCCCTCTCTCTCTCCCCCATGTGAATTTTTCTCCGTGCAAATTGGATTATAGAGACGAGATAAGGCGAGACGGGACAAGACGAGACGAGACGAGACAAACGAGACGAGAAGAGTCATTCGAGACAATGACAGAGACGAAACGAGAAAAGTCGGTCGAGAACGAGAGAAACGAGAGTCGAAAGAGCCTTCCCCTCTCTCTCTCCCCCATGTGAATTTTTTTCCGTGCAAATTGGATTATAGAGACAAGATAAGGCGAGACGAGACAAGACGAGACGAGAAGAAATTGCTCTCGTATTTCGATACGAGACGAAACAAGACAAGGAAATGGTTTCCTGACGAGACAGATGCAGTTTCTCGTCTCGTCTCGCGGCATCACTGATTTTAGTAGAAACGTCAAAAAGCGTTTTCCGTAGCTTGATGAATTAGAAATGAAATTCCCATGACTTTTCCGTAGAATATAAGGCATTATTACGATTCAATGTCTAACAACATGAAAAATTTGATCGTTACGTTTTACCACTTCTCTGCAGAATTATTTCATCCATATCATGCGATTATGATACTTCATTTTGGATTTCTGTTTTTACTCCAGTTGTGGCCATGAATCCAACAATGATGTTTCCAGTATTTTTGCAATGGTTGAGTCAACCATTACGGATCTTAATGGAAATAATTCTCCATGGCATTCCGGCCTATGCTCTCGCGTGTGCGATGGGAAATTACATTGGAATTAATTTGTACAACAGCCAATGTATGGCTGAGAATAACTGTGGGAATGACTTCGGTATTGAAGATCCCTGTTGTCGTGAGTATTCCATTAAAGACTCGCTGATGAGTAAAAGAGAAAATAAAAAGTTATAATTCTATGACTTATTTATAGAGAACTGTGGAGATCGTATTTGTCATGTACCACTCAATGTCCTCTTGGATAGTCAGTCAGGTTCAATGTTTGTACACTCGGTCATCAGTGATATTTTGATCATGTTTGTTCAAGCTTTTGCCTTTCACTTTGTCCTACATGTGATTGAGTCGGGACCACGTAAAAAAGTCAAAATAGCGGAAGTTCAGGAAGGTGACGATGAACCAACCGAAAACGCGGATCGAACTGACACCGAAAGAACTGTTGAAATGGAAGAAGAAAATCAAGAAGGAAGTCTGGGAGGAGTTTTGATTAATCCAGTGGAAGGTTGAACAGAAATTTATGCATCGATGAAAAGTGAGGATGTTTATACGAAATCATGAGGTTCTGAAAGAAGTACGATATTTCATAGAAAGTGCATTGACCGGTCCCACTTGGAAAATATATATATAGAAATATATGTCACTTATATCCTCTTATAGGTGGTATACTTTCCGGCAAAAATGCCATATTTGACATATATGTTGGATATATGTGTGTACATATATGCCACGGGGTATACCTAGCATGTACCTGGTATACAAGGCGGATATATTCAAGATATAATTCCGGCAAAATCACTATATCTCACTTATACGTTTTGGCTCTTATTTTTTTCTATGCGGGGTGACCGAGCATCGGTCACCCCGCATAATGTTTTTATCAAGCGTTGGCGTTGTCCATTTTTTCCTCGGGAAATTTGTTTAGCAAAAAAAATAAACGAAACGATGAACGGACAGAAAAGTGGCCCCGCCCGGTGCGGCTCAGTCCCTGTCGACCCCTCGAGCGACAGCGTTGCTACATTCACTGCCACACTGTTAATGCGTGCATAGCGGTAAGCGCCAAGGTGGCAACAGCGCGCTCGGTTTAACCCAGCAGCGCTGCGCTAGCCGTGCGACGGATGCAGGCTGACGGCCGAGCGTAAGTGATCGAGGATTAAATTACTTCTGAAAAGTCCCATTTCAGAACTTGTTATTTGAATATTCCATAACCGAAAACCCTTCCAAAACTTATTAATCCGCAGCGGCGAACTTAATGCAGTCCATTAAAACTCGTGCGTTGACAAATTGTGTATTCGCATTATTGAAACTGTTGGGACTGGTTTATTGTGCCTCTCTCAACTAAGAAGAAAAAAATTCTTTATTGCCAATATAAGGGACTTTTATGGAGAAAGTGTAAACATCCTCGACAGTTATCATCGTTCCATCTTTGATAACTCAGTACTCTTACAGATAATGAAGCTCAACTTGTCCCGCCAGAGGTAGCAGTAAAGGTCGAAAATTTATCCTCAAGCTTCAGAAAAAAAGGAATAATTCAGGACATAAGTTTCAAAGTAAGAGAAATCCGACTTCGTCATATCACTCCACGGACGAAAACTTTAATAGAAAAACCCATCGAATTTGTTAGAAAATTCTATTGAATTTCTATTGAAATGTTCAATAGAAAATATTCAGTAGAAAAGGTCAATAGAATTCAATTTTTCTATATAACTTATTCTATTGAGATATTTTCTATAGAATTTCCTCGGCTCAAATTTTCCAAGTTTTTTCGTTTGATTTTCTTGATGAGAAGAAAAGAAAAGTAGAATGAAAAAAACCTGGAAAATTTGAGTCGAGCAAATTCTATAGAAAATATATGAAAAGAATAAGTTATAACATTCAATACAAAAACTAATAGTAAGTTTAATAGAAATTCAATACAATTTTCTAACGAATTCGATAGGTTTTGCTATTAAATTTTTTCGTGCGTGTTGTTAACTGAGAGATTCTTTGCCAGATCAACCGAGGACAATGTTTCGGATTACTAGGAATGAATGGAGCAGGCAAGTCGACAATAGTGCGAGTACTGACTGGTCAGATTCCTATCGAGACCGGCAAAGTGGTTGTTCACAATGCAGATATGTCTACAGATCCAGACGAAGTAAAACTGTACCACAAATTTAATAATTTAATAAATAATGATTCCACTGTGAAATTAGCTTCTAGGAATGGTTGGATACTGTCCGCAGAATAATGGGCTATTGGAATTCTTGAGTGGGAGACAAAATTTACGATTTTTTGCTGCCATTCGCGGCGTTCCCAGGAAATTTATAGAGGATGAAATCGATAAATGGCTCGATGTTTCTGGTAAAGATTACCTCCACAGGAAGCATTTCTAATGAACTAGAGAAATACTGGAATAGAATAATTCCATGTAAAGACTATTTCTTATCGAACTCCTACCCCGTTATTTTTTGAGGCGAAATAGTTTAATTTTCACAAAATTTACATTTTTTCGTATTCTGTCACATACTTTTTTTTACAAATAACTAAAAAACCGCTGAGCGGTTTAGCTGTCGAACCAAGTCATAAGTTTGCTTTATGATTTACTCTCGACGGGCTACTCACTCCACAATTGCGTAACACGATTGACGTGATTTCAGTGATTTCCGAAAAAATGATTTCGATGAGTTCGAGCGTCACGGGAGGTGATTTCATGATTTCGAATGATTTCATTAATTCGAAATCAGTGATTTCAGAAGAAATGAAGTCATAAAAGATGAATAAAGTTGATAAATAATAGAAGTGGGGCGAAACAGGTCATGTCAAATTATGGAAATCAAAACTGGCAAATAATAACGAATTCGTTTGACCCCACTCCGCCAATCTTGAGCTAATGACGTTGAAAAGCGGTCCATTTTACCCCAGTCTCCACTAGTAATTCACAAATAACAATCAATTTCAGAACTTTATATTAGAAAACAAAAGTTACATAAATAATTTCACACGTAGATTGTTATAACATTAACTCATTTATTTAGAAATATTTTTTAACTTCATAAAAAAGTCTCAGGGAGCCTTAAGGTACTTCCTCAGTGAGTTATACTTGGTGAAAATTTCGCAATGAATTGAAGACCTAAAATTTGGATCATATGTTATTACGCACATGTGAAAACGATTGCCAAAATTGCAAGTTTTTTTTCCACGCGAATTTTTGAGATATGTATCGACAAAAACTTAAAAAGGACAAAAATTAAATGTTTGACGATGGATATCTCAAAAATTCGCATGGAAAAAATACTTGAAATTTTGGGAGTCGTTTTTACATGTCCTCAACAACATATGATCCAAATTTTAGGTCTTCAGTTTATTGCAAAATTTTCACCGAGTATAACTCACTGAGGAAGTACCTTAAGGTGTTTTGTGTGTAGATCACCAGGGAGGTGCAACGGAAGGGAAGTCTTATTGTTCTCGAGCCCTGATTCAATCTCTGACACAAAATTTTCCTCTTTTCAAGTAACAATTTAAGGGCACATTTGAACATTTTTTGAATACTGATTTTATTTATCAGATTGATTGATTTTTTTCTCATCACCTATGGGTGTCGAATAATTTTTATTGGATGTTTTTCTAATTATTCAAATAATATTTAAATGCGTCTCGAGCTGGTAAACCTCTCCAGTGTTTTCTCTCTCTCAGTTCCATGGTCCAACCCATATCTGTCCCACGATGTTCACTGACATTTGAATCACGCGCCTACGCGTGAGGGCGTAAATTGCCCCGAAACTCATAATTTTCCGAATCATTTGTTCAAATAACTTTCTTATGAAGTCTGAAAAAAATCTGAAACCTATACGTGTTCTCAAGAAAGATTTGATTTATCACCCACTAGTTTTTCCTCAATAGTTCATTATTTTTTAGGTGCCATGGCAATTTCCCTAATTGTGAGTGGGGTAACCTCGGAGGTTATAGCTGGAGAGGTTGCAAAAACATCCAAATTTCATCATTTTTTTTCTTAGGACTGAGATCTGAAAAAAATTGTGCAAAAATTCTCAATGATGCAGCATACTCAGACATTTCTCCCATGAATTTTCAATTTTTTTTTTATTATTTTGACTTTTTACACAAAACACCTTAAGACGTTTTTATTGAAGGAAAATTACTCTTGCATTAATTGAGTTCTCAATACTGACAGATTTATTGGAATTCGAGAATATAAATATCAAGAATTGCGCCTGGGGTATAAAACGTAAAGTGTGTCTCCTCCAAAGTATCATTGGGAATCCTCCAGTAATTATGCTGGATGCACCAGCCTCCGGAACGGACGTCATTACTCGAAATGCATTAGTTGAAACTCTTCATCAAGTGAAAGAAATGGGCAGCACTTTGTGTTTAACGACCCACAGGTTTCGAGCAAAAATAAACTCAGGGGGGTAAATAAATGTTTTAATGTCTTTTATGCTTCAATTAGTACGGAGGAGGTTGAGGCTCTTTGTGACTATCTGGGCATTCTGGTTGATGGAAAAATAGTGACAACCGGATCCGCCGAGGAGGTGAAGGACAGCTTTGGTGATAAAATATTAATGCAAATTGTTCTGGATCAGCAAGTAGGAGACGAGGCAGTTGAAGCTATTAAGATGTCCGTGGAACAGATATTTCCCTCATTTGAATTTATTGATCGATACCTGGTGAGTACATAACTCCATTAGTATGTCAAGAGTTAATCATCATTAGGGGTGACGTGATACATATCGCGTGTCTAAAAGCAAAAGGTCGTAAACGCCAAAAAGCTACTTTCCGAGTTTCGTAAAGCCAGAAGGTCATATCTCCACTCATTTTTTCTACAATTCTGCGTGAAAATACTGGAGAAACTTATTATAATACCTACATTTTCAGATTAATGTTGAGCTGCATATACGACCTTTTGCCTTTAACTTATGTCCCCAGAAATGAAAAATTCCTTAAAAGCAAAAGGTCTTAATGACAATTTTTAATTTTTTTTTACCATGTACGACCTTTTGCCTTTAATTTCTGTCCTCAGAAATGGAGACTGACCTAAAAGCAAAAGGTCGTAAAGACAAAATTTGGGATTTTTTAGTTTCCAATTCCGTGGACAGTTATACCTTTAATATTCTAGTTGATGTCACATGAAGTTATCGGTGTCTTTGATTATGGTCAAATAATTATATCGGCAACTTAATAGAATCATTTGTGTGAATAGCGTATCTTCATTTTTAATCCAGATTCGTCTATTTCGGAACATTGTAAAAACTCTCAAAATGTTTGTATTTTCTAACCATTTTTTGTGCACTAATCACCCCTTGTATAACTCTTTCAAGATACGCTTATGTATTACGTATTTGTAACAGAAAAATGCATCTCTAAAAAAAATCGAAATTAGGAAACTGAAGCGATCTTCATTTTTAAGGGTCCAACACAGCAGTGATCGGAAGAATCCCGTGTATACTCGAGGGTTAAATGGGAGATTTTGAAAATTGTTTTTAACAACAAAAATTTTCTAAAACCAATGCTGAATTTTTTTTAATTTTAGAAAATTTTCAGATTGAACTCAAAAATTGCGGCCGAGGTATTTAAAGGGCGTAAGTGCCCCATACATAGGGAGGGGTGCCCAAATATCGGGAATTTCAGATGTGAGGAGAGGGCTTTTTGCAAAGAGGGGGAGGGGGAGTTCTAAATTTAGAATTCACAACCAAAAAAATTGAGTCGGTGAGGTTTTCAAAAATATCTCCAAAACTAAGGGAGATAGGGAGTTCTTATCGAAAATTTGGGGGGTGAGAGGTGTGCATTGAGAATTCACAATCAAAAAAATAGAATCGGTGAGTTTTTCAAAGATATTTCCGAAACTAAGAGACAGCGAATTTTTACTGAAAAATTGCGGAAGGGTGAGGGTTGTATATCGAGAATTCAATAAAACCTCCCTCTTCCCCAAATTTTCAGTAAAAATTCACTATCTCCCTTAGTTTTGGAGATATTTTTAAAAAAGTCGCGGACTCATTTTTTCTGGTTGTGAATTCTCAATGCACCATACTCCCCTCNCCAAATTTTCAGTAAAAATTCACTATCTCCCTTAGTTTTGGAGATATTTTTAAAAAAGTCGCGGACTCATTTTTTCTGGTTGTGAATTCTCAATGCACCATACCCCCCTCCCACCATCTCGCCTCCCGAAAATTTTCGCTATCTCCCTTAGTTTCGGAGATATTTTGGAGAAACTCACCGACTCTTTTTTTGGTTCTCAATTCTTAATTCACAACCCCACCTCCCCCTCTCTGCAAAATGCTCCCTCCAAAAATAAAAGAAATTCTCTAGATTTTAGAAAATAATTTTTCTAAAATCAAGTATATTTAGTAACGGAACTAGAAAAAAAACGTTTAAAAGTAATGATCAAAATGGGGATTAATTTTAAACTATTTTTTTCTAAAACTTAGAAAAAAGTTCTAGATTTTGGAAAACTGAAGGTTAGAAACCGCAGTTTCTAAAATTTAGAAACATTTTTCTAAAGCCAATCCACGTTTTCTATCTGTGTATGCTGAACCATGTTTCGAGGGAATTTGAAACTTCTTCAGATTATGATGATTAACAATCGTGAATTCATGGGCGCATGATCATTCGACGCATAAAGGAATTATATTCCTCATTCTCTCAATGACTAGGAGGATATTCTAATTTCTGTAATGAGAAATGAGTAAAATTGGAGGAAACTTTTTCATAAAGATTGAAATATCAAACTGTAAACAAAATATAAAATTGGATATACGACCTTTTCGTTTTAGGTGAAACATTTTTCTAACTTCATCAAAAGTAAAAGGTCGTTTCTGCACTGATAACTAAACTCGAGATATTTTAATTTTTTGGGTTCACTTTGATTGGTTTCCTAAAAGCAAAAGGTCGTATATGCTGGCGGATACGACCTTTTGTCGGAAAAGGCCATTTTTGGCATATATGACTTTTTGCTTTTAAACACGCGATATGGGGTATTCCATGTGAACTCACCCAGGTCAAAACCCTCACCATCGCCAATCATATTGTCGATTTTTCCTGTGGTTGTATATGGAAAAATATGACTTCTCAAATTTTTTCAGATTTTTTGAGACATCCTGGGGACAGCCATGTTTTTTTGCAAGTTTTATCTTCAAATGCCTGTAATTTCCGTAAAAATCGACCGATTAGAGTTTTTTTTTACAAAATGTGCGTCTTCAAACACACTTTCCATATAAAAATATGCCAATTTTTTTCAATTCGTTCTTCCATCGATTTCCTCAGAAAAACCTCAAAAAACTTCAAAAAACGAGTCGTTTTCAAAGTTGGACCCTTTTTATAGTTTTCAAAAAATTTCAGTGAATATATTGGACCACAATCACATTTTTCACCAAAGGCCAAAGTGGGCTTTCCATTTCGTGGCCGTCATTTCAAATTTGAATATATGAATCCGCGATGAAGAATTTCAAAAATTTCAAAATTCCTTTCGCATTTGAACGCAGAAGCATTATTTGAATTTACCGCCTGAAGAATCACTGCATTATATTCGAATCTGGAACAATTTGAGGATTTTTTGAAAATTCGTTAACAATAAATCTTTTCGAGTGGTGTGTTCTAATAGAAATCCCACTTTGGCCTTTGGTGAAAAATTTTATTTTCGTCCAATATATTCACTGAAATTTTTTGAAAAATATAAAAAGGATCCAACTTTGAAAACGATTTGTTTTTTGACGTTTTTTGAGATTTTTCTGAGAAAATCGATGGAAGTACGAATTGAAAATAATTGGCATATTTTTATATGGAAAGTGTGTTCGAAGGCGCACATTTTGTAAAAAAAAAACTCAAATCGGTTGATTTTTACGGATGTTACAGGCATTTGAAGATAAAACTTGCAAAAAAAACATGGCTGCCCACAGGATGCCTCAAAAAATCTGAAAAAATTTGAGAAGTCACATTTTTCCATATACAACCACAGGAAAAATCGGCAATATGATTGACGATGGTGAGGGTTTTGACCTGGGTGAGTTCACATGGAATATCCATGAACCCACCCATGGATCCACCCATGGTGTGGTTCTATGGGGTGTGAGTTCACCCCATATGTAAAAAAATTCAGGGTGTAGCTGTATTCCTGGTACAGCCGCCAGAATACGTGGATACGTCTAATTGCTAGAATTAGTGTTTCTTAATAAAAATTTTCGCCCTGAAAGTTATCTTGGGAATTAAAAATTTGTTAATGGGATTGCAATTTCCTCTGAATTAAAAAAATTGAAAGTTTCCGACGGAAAGACCGAAGATAGGAGGGGGCATGCCGCACAAGGAGAAAAAACGATAGAAGAGGGTGGGGTAATTGGACATCTGGGAGTAAAATAGACCTTTAAAGAATTTACAAAAAAAAAATTTTTTCTTTGAAATTCAAATTTTTTTAAATTGTTTCATTGGGCAATCTAGACACCTGATAAATCCATATAGGATGGACTAAAATAGGCGCTCAAAAAATTTTCAATAATCGAATTTTTTTTAATTGCTGCTTGGTAAAGTTCCCAACCGAAGAATTATTCAAGAGTGGGGTAAATATTTTTATAGAGCGAAATTGGAGTTTGGAAAGATATTAACAAATAAACTTCAATTCTATTAGATGTTACATTAAAGTTTGAAATATAGGGTAGTTTTGGATTTCCTGTTTTACTATTGGAATAACTTTGAAATTATTTATTTTCTCAATGAACCATTGTACGCCCTATACAACTGACTTTTTGTCCATTTGCGAAATAGATGGCGACTTTTCTACTCACAAACTAAATTACAATAAAACAATGGGGGGAAGGGAGGATAAATGAGCAAAGAAAAATTTGGTTTGATTTCGTCCACCCCCCACGACGAAAATCAAAAATGAGTTTTTTTTTCAATTTGAAAATCGCAGTCATGACTAGTGTTTTAGAAATTGAATAATATTGTTGAAACATAAGAAATTGAGGAAGACATCAAAGTGTCCATTTTACCCCGCTTTTGCTTTACCTTGCAACTCCTACGACGCAGTTTTATGACAATGTGTTTGTTTTTATAATCTTTAAATGAAGTCGGAACAGTAGATTTGATCTAACTCAACTCATTATTTAAATCTGATGTCCATATTGCCCCATTCTCGCCTATACACAAATGTAGAATTCAGCCTTTCAATTTCAAAGATGGTCAGGCCATGCTTTCCGGTAAATATCACAAAAAATAGTATGTGCTCCGCGGGTGTGCAGAAAAGTACGACTTTACCTATTTGTCACGCAATATCTTATTTCAATACTTGAACAAAAAAAATCTAACAAAAGTACGACGAAAATAATGTAAAAATTCTATTTGAAACGTGATTGCAGTGTATTATCTTCACTAACTGGAAAGATCAATCTTTGGTTTTGTCATTTTTTCGTATTTCCACGTGACAATCCATAATTGTTGAGGACAAAACTTGAAGAATTTCGCCCCAAGATAACGCGGGCAAACGTGGAATTCTCAAGGGGATACGTCGGTGAAATTTAAGTCTTCACTGGACCTTGGAACCCATTGAACAGTTTGTGATATATGACGGAATATGGGTATAACTAGGAAAAATTGCGGACCCGATCGATTTTGCCCCGTATAACCACGAGAAGCTTCATTTTTTCCAGTTTTTACCTTCAAAATGCTCCTTGCGCCGTAGTTTTCATACGATTTTAGCTTTTTTAAAAATATTCGTTACACTTCAAAGAATAAAGTTGAGCATCCGTTTTACTTCAGTCGCAATAGATCATAAATAAATGAATTTGGAGTTTCATCAATTTTTCGCGTCTCTAGAGTAAGTAAAAGGGTTCAATTAGAGGATTAGAGTAGAGTAGAGGATTCGATTTTGAACTTTTTGTATTTCTATGAAACTAGATTAGTCCGCGCGCTGCGCGCGCGTATTTCCTACGCCGTGGGCCATAATGTATGTCAATTGTAGTGAATAATCTTATATTAGATTTCTTAAGTTAATATCATAGTTTCCGACGGAAAAGTTTCAGGAATGTATTCTATTTTTTTTATGTATACTAGATATGTGCGCGCGCTGACGCGCGCGCTCATCTCTTTGTTGTGAAAATGAAGAAATCGAATTTATTAAACTTCATATACTCATAGATGTTTTATAAATATTGATAATGACTTAAAGAGAATTAAGAGAATGAAGAGCATCAATGAATAATTTTTAATCTTCGATTAATTCTTTTTTTTTGACTTTTTAAAATAATCTGATTAAAATCTGTAATTGTTGAAAAATCAGGGGAGGGTTATGAATTGATTTCCTAGGAAACTGAAAAAATTTGTTGAATTCTTCGGAAAATTTCACAATTTTTCAGATAACCGTAGATCACAGATTTTTCTCGAATTATTTGGGAAACCGAAGAATTTTCGTGAATTTTGTAGAGTTTAGAATTTATGTATGAAAATCTGAGAAGCAAGAATTGATTATTTTGGCGTGTCATAAATATGAAAAAATTAAAATTTGGGAAGTGAAGAATAATTTGTGAGTTAAAAAAATTTAGAAATACTATTTTTTTTTCTCATGATCAAAAATTACGCAATTTAGATATGTTTTGATATAAAGATCAACTTCACACATGAAAAAATGAAAAATATGACGCAGAAAAATATTTTGCCATTTGAAGAATTTGAAAATACCGGGGATTTTTTTCAGCGACTACTTCACCTGACTCATTGACCAATCAAAATTGAGAATTAGCGGTCAGGCAGTTTCGAGATATTTCGATATAAAACAACTTCACGTTTCTTTCATCTTTAGTAAATAGGAATACATCCAGTGTGACTTTTTTTGAAACCAATCTATTCGGCGCGTTGTGTCATTAGATTTTTTTTATAAATGATGATAGCATACATTAAAGATATTACGATAATACTATATTATATATACTATGTATAATATACAATATATAAGAGTACTATATGTATTATAGAATATAATGTGCTTATTAAAAAAATGAAATAAGAAACTGATATTAATAATAATAATGCATAGTGTATTATAATATGATATAGAATATAATATAATAAAGTATTATCGTAATATCTTTAATTTATACTATCATCATTTATGAAAAATATCATGACACAATACGCCGAATAGATTGGCATCAAAATACGTTACACTGGATTTTTTATTAAAGGATTTCTTTATGTTGCAGCATTGGTTGAATTACGAGCTCACCGACAGAGTATCCAATGTCGAAATTCATGAGACTTTAGAGAAATTAAAACGGGATCACGTGAATATCATTGATTACTTCGTCAATCAACAATCCTTAGATCAAGTATTCCATAAATTGGCGAAGGTAGAGAATGTCGTAAAAGTTGATACATCATTGCTCCAACGAATATTTACAGAACTTCAAAAGGTGTTTTCCAAAAAATGAATCCAAATCTGAGTGAAGTCATGAAGAATATAGGTACCAATTTTCATAATAAATTTCAGTGTAAATTTTGACGTTTTATTACAATGCAGTTTTTTTATTTTCTCCTACAATTTTCTTATCCTTAATTTCATTTGTCTTTATACACTCGCACCAGGGCGTCAGTGTTTTATCACACGAGAGTTCGATATTCAATATTGTAAGTTGAGAGTCAGATATTGTTATATTGATGACTTCAAGTATTTTGTAGGAGACGTTATCGAGCCCCGTTTCTCGATCACGTTTTCTCGTCACTTCACGTTGATTGAAACACTTGGTTGTATCTCTTTTTCTGTGGTTTTTGTCATGGATATGCCTGCGAAAAAGATTTGATGACATTATTTGAAAAATATCGCACAAGAATTCGGTATTGAATGAATCGGCAGGAGGGGTAGTTTCACTCGAAGAACACTTTCGAATTAAGGCCCGGGTGTACTATCTGTCAAACGTTATCTCGATGTTTTTCTTCATCTCTCGTCATCTAAAATTGTCAATTCAGTCCTGCATCTTGCAGAAGTTTCGAAAAATTATGAATGAATAATCAAAAAAAAGTAGAAAAACGTAGAAAAACGCTCTTTGAAAAATTTCAGAATTTTTCAAAGAGCGTCTATTTTTTCTAATCATTCTATCATAATTTTTGGGAATTTCTACATGATGTACCACTCAATTGACAATTTTGGATTACGAAAGATAAAAAAAATCCAGGTAACATTCGAAAGATAGTACACCCGGGCCTTAATATTAACACCTTTCAATATAAAACAGCACAATTCCCGTGAAGATCTTTTTCATTGTTAGAAATTTATGTAATTTAATGTTGGGACTTGGATTTTAGATCAAGTTGTTCTCGGATTTTTATTTCTTGCTAAAAACCGAGATAGCCATATCCATAAATTATAATTACTGTTAAATTATTAAGTAGTCAATTAGTTAATATCACTGTGAAATGTCAATGATTGAAGGAATCATCAATTTAAATATTCAAATTCCGACTTATTTATTAATCAGTAATTGAGTTAGGAAGATTGACGATTATTTGGATAATCGGAAATCACTTTAAAGAAATTTAGTATTATTCACTTGATAGAAAATTTAAAGATCCATATTATTAAATATTCAATTCACCATCAACTGGAAATTTAGATTATCAATTATTCTAGTATTTTTAAATTTTGATTAGCATATTTAAACCTTGATGAATGTCAGTAGGAAATTCGTTAAATATTGAAGAATTGGAAGATTGATGGCCATCTCAGGTTAAAAATTCTGACCCATATTTAATAAATATGCATTTCGCTATAATAAATCCAATTTAGAAATTCACAGGGAAAACTAAAAACTGTATTAAATTAGATTTTGAATGAATTAAAATTTGCCGACTAAAATTGCTCATATTTTCACAACTTTCAAGCATTTTTTAAAGTTTTAAAGAGAATTGGGGTGGACTAGAGTCAAGTCCACTTATTCTACTTCACGAACACACCAATTTATTGATAAATAAATTCTACCTAAATGTATTCTGCGTGCCAGTGGAAATATTCTGTGGCCGTCGTACCACTAGATTAGCTTCCTTCAATCTCACATAAAACTCATCATCCTCTAGACCCCATCCCCAGTATTTATTGGACATTCCATTCACTTGAATAAAGTGATCTCTGAAAAAAAGACATCGATATAAAAAGTAAGACAAAAAAGAATAAATAAAATTAAAAACCACTCATGATATGTGATTCCCAAAATACTAGAAACATTCACTGATACTCCTAACTACCTTTTAATGAGTAAAATTCCTCCAATGAACGTGGAATAATGATAGCGTGGATGGAGATCAGGTGCTGATACATGGAAAGGTGTATCAGGATATCCGTATGATAAATTGTCATTCAATGGTAACAAATCCACATCATGCATCGCGATGTAGTCGAATTCATTCTTTACGTGCAGAAATCCCACGTTCACGAGAGATGCTCTATTAAATCTAAATCTGTCCACCTGTCATGAAATAACACCGAATCAATTCATTAGTAAATGAGTTGTACGTTACAAATTAATTATGTGCATATAATTAAATATTGAATTGTCTTAATGATGAGTCAGTCGAGGAAAAAATATCAACGGATTGTTTTCGTTCAAAAATTTCCTCAGCTACAGAGAAGATGAATATTAGGGCCCATTAAAATGACGCTTGACTTTTCGGTTTTGATGCTCACTACAATTTCATGTATTTTCCCTGGTAAAAAAATTGTCGTTGGAGCCGATCGGAGCATTTTTAGTACTGCCTCAGCGGGGTCGAAATTGCTTCAATAAAGACTTGTTCATTTTTCCACTTATTCCGATTTAGTCGCTCACCGAGAGTCAAATAGTAAAAAAAAATAACAAGAATTTGGGCACTTGCGGAGCTCGACAGGATGATATTAACCCCTGCCTCCTTGCTAAGTTTTATTTTTCATTTTTTAGCTTCCCGATGAAATAATTATTTCAATAGTAGATTTCATCATTAGGTCTACAAAGTATTTTTTTTATTTATTTATTTCTTTACTACTACCGTTACTACCACTACTAACATTATTTTTAAAACTACAAAACTTGACACACTCGTTTGTTTGCAACGAAGCTATCGGGAAATACCCGATCATTTTTAAGCTCTCGGGCTATTACTACTGATAAAGACAGCCCATGATTTCACAAAAACGGTTATCATATTTGCAATCAGCGACCTCGACAATGTACATTCTAATGGTCACATCTTTAGACATCTCAATGTACACAGAAGTTCCCCTGGCGGGTAGTCGGACAGTTTTTCCCCGGACAAAATTTCCCTGAAAAAAATTTCCCCGGACAAAATCTCCCCGTCCTACTAAATTCTTTGTCCTGATGATTTGTTGTGAATAATTGATTTTACTAGAGATTTATGTTCATAACTTTGCTAATACGATTATGCGATTTGACGGTGTGGTATAGGAGAAATGTATTAATAATTCCCAAGTATTTATTGTTATGTGTTCCCTATCATTTCTATTACATTTGTTCCTTTGTAATTTCACTGAGGCTAAAAACTCGGTAATTTCATATGTTCTATTGTGCGATTCAGTAATAAAAACCCCTTTAATTAAGCATTATCATTATATTTATTTTGACCGGATCCAGTTTCCTAATCGCAAATTCCTTTTGCAGGGAGATTTTGTCCGGGCAAATTCTTTTTCGGAGAGATTTTGTCCGGGGAGATTTTGTCCGAGAAATTTTGTCCGGGGATAAGCTGTCCTAGAATCCCCCTGGCGTATGGGACTATTTGTTGAAACCTCACCGCAACTTTTTTTAATATTCTGGGTATGTCCTCGTCATTCCTTGAGGAAGATGTAGTAATCGGGAAAAATCTACAATTTTATCGAAATACAAAGAAAATCGTCAAAACCTGTGAAGGGTAGGGTTGAGAACAGCATCGCATTGGCAACAAATTTCATCAAATCGGCAACTACAGATGAACGGGTTTCTTCTTTTTTCTACATTCTCAACCATTGAAAAACCGTCAAATCCCGCCTATTTCCCAACTATGTTTCGTGGGAAAAAGGTAAATAATGACATTCATCTGGAATTCACATAGAATGTTTATGTTCATAGTTGAATTATCTACGAATTTTCCTAGAATTTTTTCAGATTTCCATTTCAAGTTATTGACGATTGATGTTATTGATTGATGCTAAACAGAAAAATCTCCATAAGAGCCCATGTATAAGAAGCGAGTTGAATCGTTAATAACTTTAAAAGAAAATTTGAAAAAATTTGAAGAATATTCGTAGATAATTAAATTTTGAGTATAAACATTCTATATGAATTGCAGATGAATGTTATTATTTACCTTCCCGTGTAAACATTCATTAGCTTACGTACTATTGTAGATATCGAATTTCTCAAAAATTCCCCATAAAGTAGATAAAATTATCGACGCAGTGTGAGTTGATTTTTTTTTTCAAGTTACTTTTAACCCTAGTTGGTCACCATAGGAGGGAAACGCCGCAGAAGGTCGATTTTTTTTCTTACCATGGACTGGCTGAGCGGAAAAATCCTAAAAAATTGGAATGCGTCAATTCAAGTGTCTATAAAATAATAATATTTTTTTAAATTATTTATATTCACAATTCCTGAAGAAAAAAAATTATTTCTAACAGACGGGCAATTTTTTCACATGTTAAATGAAATTGCCCGTTGTGCGACGTTGCCGAAGTCTCGCTAAACGCGCCCGGGCAGTATTGAGTGAATTCGGCAACACTCGGGCCTAAATAACACGGCGGCGATTCCCTGCGGAGGTGGCCAAGTCGCAAGTTCTCATATGGTGACCAAACTAGGGTTAATATTTTTCTTCAATATATGAACAATGTGGAACTGAATTCGATGTTGGGTGCATATTCAAACCTCTCGTTTATCGAGATAATTTTTATCCAAAATTTGAAAATTTTTACCGAACATACATATACTATACATTCCTTTGTCGAATAGCGAAAAGAAAATTTCGATTCAATGAATTACTGATTTGTTATTAACAAATTTCTGTCAATCGCCGATCGTGGCAATCGTTTGTACAATCGAACTGAGATTGGCTATTCGGTGAAAGCTCAAGATTATCGTAAATTTTAGTTCACAATTTTGGATCATCAATGTAGAAGTTGCGTATTGAACAGTGAATTCGAGTTGACGGGCGGTCGCGAGCCGATGAGGACACACATCGCGATATAGGTCCCGTAGGGATTAAAGTAGCTCTACCCTTCCGCCGGGCTATGCTGTACTTTTGGATATTTTCGATTTTTTAATTTTTCAACTAAATTACATGGGAAAAATTTGAAAAAATTCATAGTCAGTATTATCTAAATTAAATTTCGCAAAATATAGATATTTTTTCAAACATTTCCTTCTTATAAATAAATAATAAAACTTGTTTGCAAAACCGTGGATTATTTTTTATGAGGTGTCAAAAAAATTCTTGATTTTTTCACATCTAAGGAAAAAAAATCAGATTTTAATCTTTGATTACAACGGAAATGTTGATTTTCACAGAAGACACTGGGTTAAATCTTGATTTTTAAACATTTCTTCTTTGAAAAACCAAAACGATAATTAAATTGAGAAAAAAATTAGAATTCCGAATCTAATCGAGTTTTCTGCAATTTTTTTGCAATTTTCAATAATCTTTGAATTGACCGTAAGGGTAGAGCTACTTTAAATAACTCATTCATTGGGAAGATAAAAATTGAAAAATAAATATTTGATAGCAGTAAAACAGTGGTTAATATCATCTTATTTACTTTTCCCCGTAGGTGCATAAACTCTTGTTATTTATTTTATTATTTGACTCTCGATGAGCGACCAAACCGGAATAAGTTAAAAAATTGGCATATGTCATTTTGAGGCAACTTCGATCTCGCTGAGGCAATACTAAAAATGCTTTGCCAGCGACATACCTCGCGAGAATTTTTTTTCCGAGAAAATATGTGAAATTTTGAGGAGCAAGAAAATTAAAAACTCAGGTGTCATTTTGATAAATCAGGGGCTATCATTTCATCATTAGATGTTGTTTATATGTTGTTTATTCGCTATGTGTATGCAAAAAGTAAGAACTATGGCGTAAAAGAGATTTTATTATTTGTTTGCCTGCAGAAGCAGAGAATCGAGGGCTGATGCACTTTACAATAATTAAGATTTACTTATCTTCATTGAAATTTGAAAAATAATATAACAATTGGTAATTTAATTTCTCAATTATTGGTTGATAAAAGAATTCGGAATTTGAATATTTAAATTGATAGTCATTTTTTCAAGCAAAAAATTGGGGAGTAATATTAACAATTGACTTATTCAAAATTTAACTTCAATTCAAAATTATGATTATGCCGATGTTCGGGCTGATGGTAATTTTTGGGACAGATCTTTTTTACAGAATCATCTACGGAAAAATATAGGAAAGAAGAACTTCAAACAGTCCGTTATCTTAATCGTTCATGCCCAAGCAAGTTTTTATAAGCCTGAAAAACCGAAAAATACCTACAGATTTCCTCACAAACAAAACATCAAAAGTATAGCTGGTAATTTATTCTTATTAATACATTTTCGTTTAAATGCTGTCAAAACCTGAACTTCAATCTCAGAAATTGAGTCCAGAGGGACTTTTCTTTCGATTCCATGGTTGTAGAAACAACCAGACAAGAATCAACTATTATTGTCTCAATATTTCTCATATTTTTTATGCAGAGAATGAACAACGTATGGAAACTTTAGAGTAAATCTACACGACTGGCCCCTCAAAACGACATTTCCTAATACAATAATTTTCGTTTTAAAACAAGGGTATCTCAAAATTCGCATAAGGCTACACAAGTAAGTTGCCAAACAAGTCTTGTTTGAGCCAACAAAATCGCTAGTTGAAAGTTGCCAAAAAAGAATTTGTTTGGCTCGAATTTAAAAGTCTCAAACATTAATAATTGTTCTGCATTCGATAGCAACGAAATATTTGGCTCAAGGGGCGGATAATTCACACCAGACGGTGCCTTTTTAGGATGAAAATATCTCATACAGAGGAAAATTTATCAACTAATATTTTATCCTCAAGTTACAAGATTGCTATCATATCATTATTATTGTTTCATTTAAGGGTTCATTTCTTGTCTGTGATTATTAGACAGTCGAAACGAAAAACTACTATCCCTTGTTTCGCATAAAACAAAGATTTTTCGGGAGCAAAATACTATGGGAGTATCGAATAACGAAGGAGTAGTGCTAGAAATGACATTTCTTGCGTGGACAGAGAATGCAATTTTTTTTTGAACTACAAAATCTATTTTTGCGACAAAAATTTTTCTTTCCGACGCACTTTCTGCATGTTTGGCACAAAAAATCCTTTTTTGATAATTTTCAAAAAAATATGTTCTTGGCACAAGTAAGACTTGTTTGAGAACTTTGTCGTTTTTCTCTGAGTGTAGGGTATCTCAAAATTCATGTGAAAGCTTGTTGTTCGCATCCATTTCTAAGTCTGACGGAACCCACAAATTATTCCATTTCTCTTCCAATATGAACTTTATGTTATTCGTACTTTTTGATGCATCCATATCATTTATCCAACTGTCAAGAGAAGGAAAACGTGAGATTTCAGACGATTTTTCACATGAATTTTGAGATGTCCTCGTTGTAAAAAGAACATTGAAATACCTTTGTTTTCTCAGGAGATGTCGTAAAAATATCTGGATTATTTATTTTTTTACCTGGTGGAGAATAAATATTCTATAGTCAATATTCTGTTTATCTAAGAATCGTTTCATGTAAGGAGCAAACGTCAATAGCTCCTCGAAACGATCTCTGAATGGCACCAGTACAGCTAATCTGTGCTGTGACTTTCTCAAGGGTTTTGGCACATTGTTTGAATCCTTCTGTAGTCCTTCAGAGTCCCCAGGACACTTACATTCCTCTGGAATTATCAAACAACATCCGTAATGAAGGGAACTCTTCTGAATTTGAACCCTTAACCAGGTGAGGATCCTGAACTTAATGATCTTACCGGTGCTAAATGGCAGAGTACTGATAAGGCATGTTATGAAGAAAGTAATGAGTATTCCGACCAGCAAATACTTCGGCCGAATGCCCTTCCAGCGTGATTCCATCACTATTCAATTGTTTATTTCTCCCAAGGCAAGAGATGCCAATTAAACTGTGAGTAATCGCTCACCTCCATTGATACTCTAGAGTAGTTAAAATATTTGAGAATGTGGAGAACGATCTTCCAGTTGTTGTTTGCAGACACATGTCACTTTTTTTAAGCATCCAAACCATGCAGTTTATTCTGCAATAAAAAAAAATTACAAAAATACAAAGGCGTTTACAAAATAATTCTTTAGGTACTATTCATAACGACTTACATCACTTCTTCACACGTACGAAAAAATTTAATAGAATAACCTTTCGAATTCGTTAGAAAATTGTATTGAATTTCTATTAAACTTTCTATTAGTTTTTGGCTGATTCTATTGACATGTTCAATAGAAAAAGTCAACAGAATTCGATTTTTCTATATAACTTATTCTTTTTAGATATTTTCTATAGAATTTTCTAGGTTTTTTTCACTCTATTTTTCTTTTCTTCTCATCAAGAAAATCAAACGAAAAAACTTAGAAAATTTGAGCCGAGGAAATTCTATAGAAAATATCTCAATAGAATAAGTTATATAGAAAAACTGAATTCTATTAACTTTTTCTATTGAATATTTTCTACTGAACATTCAATAGAATCGGCCAAAAACTAATAGAATAGTTAAACAGAAATTCAATAGTTTTCTAACGAATTCGATAGATTTTTGTATTAAATTGTTTCGTCCGCGCAAACATTCAATCCTGAGGAGTTTAAGAAGGAATCAATATGTTTGAGAATATTTCTCTTCAATTTCTTTAAAAAGACTTTGATTTCATAGGGTGGGAGGAAGCCTTCACTTCGTATCCCTGCCAAAAGCCTCTGACGGTGTGGCTCATAGATGGGACAGTGCCAGAGCACATGGTCGAGGTCTTCATTCGGATCACCACAATCACAAGATGAAGACTCGATGAAGCCAACTCTTTTCAAAGAGCTAACGAGATTGTAATGATTCGCTCTGGTCCTGTTAACCCATACTATGGTTCTCCGTGGGAGTTTACTATGACGTTTGTATCAGGGGGTTCTGTTCTTTTTATAATATTATAATATAAGTTGTACCAGTCTCCAGGCTCATTCCAAGGATTTTTTCTTCTGTTTCATTAAATGATTCCCTCTTGAATCCCTCGGTAAAATCAGAGAAGGGAAGCACAGACACATATCAGTTGAAACTATTTATTATGGTTTATTCTAACGCTTTTCTCGGCTTTTACACCGCACTACATCATTCAAAGCCTATGAATAACATAACCTGACTACACCTGCGTAAGTATCTAGATCACCGATGTCCGCTGAATTCAAGATAATTTATTATTCGTAATTTTGGTACGAAAAAAATTTTGTAGAAAAATCGAATGCATTAGAAAATTCCATTTAGCTTTACGATGATTAAATTGAAAACATCACAGTCTTTCCACTAAATTTTTTATAGCAGTATTCAATAGAAGAAATAATAGATTTTTACTTTTGTAAACAATTCATTCTTCGAGATATTTTTGTAGGAATTTCTTTTCATGAAAAATTCAGGAAAAACTTGGAAAATTTAAGCCAAGGAATTTATATAGAAACAATCGTAACATTTCACTTCTGTAAACTGAATATTTAAGGACATTGTAATTGAAACATTTACCAAATGTTAGACTGATACGTAAACAATTTATATCTATTTTTGTAATATTTTTTAGCAGGAAAAATCATATGGTTTGGATGCGTTAATAAAAAAAACAATCGTAACATAGTAAGTTTTATAAACAAATCAAATTTTGAACAATCTAATAAATTTTCTTAGCAAAAGCGTTAGGTTTTTCCTATCAAATTTTTTTGTATGTGTCGTCGTGCATAAGAAAATTTAAGATAGAATCCTAGTACATTTGGTAGAATAATCCATTGGAATTCCCTTACTTTCCAATTTTGTCGCAGTCCGTCTGGATTTTTTTCTCAATACAAAAATTTCAGGCAAAATATGTAACAGAAAAAAAATTAATAGATATTTTCTGTTCAATAAAAATTCCTCGCTCAAAATTTCCCACGTTATTTCTTCTAATTATCAACAGAACGATAAAAAAGAAAGTGGGAAAAATTTCAGAAAATTATACCTTGGAAAGTTTTAATAAGTTAGAAAAATCCCATTTGATTATTTTTTTTATTTGACTATTGCGATTTTCAAAGAAATTCTCTTGGACATGTTCTAGGATTTTCTTTGATATTTTTCCATGTTTACTTGACTGAAATTTCCAGGGAAGGCTCGGTAAAGTCTGAAGCGTTAATGGATTTTTACATTTTCAATGAATATTTGGGCTACATCAGCCTATTCGTAAAGAAAATAAGAATTTTTTATTGGGAAATTCAGACAAAAATCTTCAACAGTGTATAAATTTTTGAAAAAGAAAAATTCATCATTTTTTCTGCAAGAGCAAATTTTCAACTGAAGTAGAAAGATAGTCTATAATTAGAACTTTTTTTTTAGCAACGGAAAGAAAATATAGAAATAATGAGGATAAATTGAACAATTAAATACACATTTTATGATAATATATCATGAAAAACATTTATTACAAATAACCTAGATAAAAGGGAAGCTAAATAACTTTCCAAAGTGATCCATCAATTATCAACCATAATATCAAAATCACTCGTATATTTACATGTAATTTTACTCAATATTTCATTTTTCATATTTCTCTTAACTATTAATTTCTTGTTCCATTCTGTTCCGTGGGGTAAAAAACGACAAAATAAAGGAGAAATCTAAACTAACGAGTAAACTGCTATCAGTCCTACAGATAATATCGTCAAATTGATAAAATAAAAAATGACAAATACTCTCTACTAGCATGTAATAATTTTTCTTACAAATCTTGTTTCTTGTTTCCATACTTTTGGCGAAGAAAAGGCCTCTCTCTGAGTATATTCCATCATTGAAATACTAATTACCGTTTTATATATAAAAAAAATTGAATTCTTTAACCTGGGCATTGCAGTCAGGAAATTTCTTACTTCCTAACATCTGAATATAGATACTATTATAAGTCATGTATCATTAAAAATGGATTATCCAAAAATAATCTGTACTTTATCATCTGAAATTCTTAACTCTACAAGCAAAAATGAAAAATTGATTTTTTCAAAATTAAGGATGAACAATTCAAATAATTCTGGGATATTGTTCACATAACGACACACCATTTCTTGGGCTCAACATTTGCATTGACTCCCACTTGAACATTCTCATTGTCACCCTCAGACTTCTCTCCAATATCAAATTTGAATCCTTTGGGATTGGGAGTGGAGACTTGCACAGGCCTCCGAAGATTTTTAATATATTCCAACGAAGTATTGAATATTGAGCTCTCCTCCTGCCTTGGCTTTTTTGCAGAATCGTTGACCTCAGACCCAAGCTTGCGTTTACGATCACTAGGAGTTCCATTGCGACTGGGTGAGTCCAGAAAACCTGGAGTATAGCGTAGTGCATCGTCCTGAGAGAAGGAAGCACTACTCGTATTAACAAATAATGAATCATTGGGTGTACGTTGACGATCTCTGAGGGTGACGTGCCTCATACGACCGATGGAATTCCTTCCAGAGATTCCTCGTAGAGTTCTACCAAAGGACAAGTCCTTAAATGCTTCAGACATGCTGGCGTTGGGGTCTGTTACGTCCATCATCTTTGAGTTGTCTCTCAAACAATCGTTCAACTTGATCTGCACGTCCTTCAACATTATTGTCGAGTCGTAGGAGACGAAGGAGGGGTCATCCTCAGGCTTCACTTGGTCTTCGTTGCTCTCTGATGGATTCTCCTGGGATTTTAGGTCTGAAGGTGGACAAGACTCTGACGTTGTAGATTCGACCAAAACGTCCGCAGGGTTGGCGTCATTGCTTGATGGCTCTGATTGTTTTTGCTCCGAGGAAATGGCTGTTTGCTCTTTCTCAAGGGCCTCCTCCGGCTTCTCAGAGAACTCTAATACCAATGAATCATCTGAAATCTCCACCAAGTCGATGACTTCACTGTTTGTACTCTCGGTTTCAGACACCACGATCTCCTTTGGCTCATTCACCTCTGGTTGTGGGGACACTCCATCGTCCCTTTCTTTTCCATTGTCTTTTGGAGATTGAGAAGAGTGGCTTTCCACACTGGCTTTCCCGTTCGTGTCTGATGAGGCTGAAGGAATTTCCTTGATCTCGGGTGGGTTATCGTCAGGCTTTGACTTTGATTTCAGATCCTTTTTCTTTGATTGAGGTATTACTTCTGCTGACTCCTGTTGGACTTTCATCGTGGACTTTTGCTTGTAGTGCTCTTGAAGACGTTTCTCGGATTTTTGGGAGGGCTGAGGAATCACTCGGGGCTGGAAGTTTGTGGATAATGGCTTCAGCTTTGAAGGACTGCGTAATTTACTCTGTGGGGGAATTTCAAGGGGGATTAATTACATTATTACATAATAATAATCTAATAATAAATTTTTAGTCTCCAATTCTCATTTTCTGTCATTTATTCTATTAATGCTATCAAAAGACAAGGATAGAAATCAAATTTATGGGTATTCTTCTATGATTCGAAAAAATGTATCGATTTTAAAACTTTCCTTGCCTGTCAATTCCCCAAAAAATCAAAATCCATTTTAACAATAACCCAAGACCACCCAAGAGAATTTCAGCCGCAGCGAAAAAATGTTTTTTACGTAAGTTTTCTCCATTATTCCATTTATTAACCCGTGGGAATGGCGCAAAATTTCACCGCTTCTTTATTTCCATATACATACAACAATCGTGGGGCCTTAAATTTTCTAATGAGTGTACATCAGAAAATCTATTATCGGAAGTATACTCGAATTCCCAAACGCATTCACGAAAAATTAATTTTTACATAATTATTATTGATCTTTTCATTAAGCTTCAGGAAACCCCTTTTATTGATGATTAAATTCATTGAAAAAACTATTCCCTGCCATTTTCTCCTAAAACCAGAATTATTGGAAATATGAAATTTGACCCATCACAATTCTCGAGTCTTGATTCATTTTAACAAAATAACGTCTATGGTAATTACAAGCGAATTGTGCTCATTTATGAATGACCATTCAATGTATTTGAACTCATCAATTAATGGTCATTCACCTAGGCGATCAGTGTCACCTGCAACTCAAAAATATGTCGAGTCGTACTCATCTACAATTTACCCCTTGACGAATGAAATCATATTTCCTTTAAGAAATTATTTAATTTTTTTCATTCAAGCATGTATGACCTTTCGGGTTTTTACATTCCTTTAAAAAATTAATTCTTAGTAGATTCTTTACAAAGTAGTCTTGCATGTCATGAGAGAATAGGGAAAAATTTTCGCTCATCTAGTTGGTTACAAATTTCTCATCTTCATGGTTTTCTTATACACGTAAGAATCACCAAAAACCTATGTGAAAATTAAGACAGACACGTTCATATTCATTCAATAATTATTTACCTTGGGGTTTTTAGGAAGTACTAGCCCAGTAGCTCCCGTTTTCTTAGCAACTCCAACAGTCTTCGGCCTGTATCAAAAGCACAAAATCTTACTAAACTATTACCAAGAACCAACTAAGATCATCAACCAATCACTATCAAGCATGGAATATCATCCCTGCAAGAGAGTTTGTGGGTTTCATTTCACAGAATAAAATAGATGAAAAAAAATCCCTAACTTGCGAAATTTTTTTCCAAAAGCATCTTTTTCTGTCAAATTTCTACAACTTTTCGTGCAGTTTCAGTAAATGTTTCCTCATTCCTGAGAAACGCGATGAAACCAAATCTTATAATATAGACTTTTTCCTGCACTCAAAAACAACTAATGTTGTTGAAGGAATATATTTGGGTTATTTTCGAAAGAAAAAATAACATTGTTATGGATTATCATCGATCATCAAGCTAAAAAAAATTATTTTTTTACTATTTACTTTTTTTTGAAAACGTTCATGGATAATACTCAGTGCCATGAACGTCGTTCAGAAAATACAATAGATAACATAAAAATGTTTCTTAATATATATTATTCATTTATTAAGTGCTTTCTTACTCACGAATCGCGGGGAAGGGAGTGACGATGGCATAGGTCCGCACTGTTTTCTGGCGATATCTGTTTGTCTTATATATTAGATATTCTGTATGTTGGCTGCATTTAGGTTAATACCTAAAGCAATTTTTGTATTCTGTATTTATCTATTCATGTTATTATTGTGTTGAGAAGGCGAGGCTTGTGTAGGTGTAAAACAGTAATTGTAGCACCAATGAAATAAAATTCTATTCTATTCTACAATAGATAAGAAATAGTTGAAGAATTCTTGAATTATGAAATACTTGTTTTGAACCACGATTTTTCATTCAAGTTCAAGAAGTATACGTTCCTCCATTTTTACTGATAGAATGGAAACAAGTGGGAAATGCTCTTGTATTGAATATATTATAGGGATTTTTGCTAAGAAATTATCAATATGCTTCCGAATGGTCATTTTGCACATCATTTCCTGCTATCATGTATAATTCATTGTTTACTTCATTTTATTAAATTGAATAAGATTTCTTTTTAGCTAATTTTGTTAGATTTTCAACTTAGTTGAATGTTATCTTTATCATTATTCTTACTATTCCTTTTGCAGTTGTACCTTTCCCCTCAGCCCTTCGATAAAATGTTGATAGAAAAATGTTATTTATACATAATTGAATGAATTTGAAACATCACATTTGAAAAAATCATCAGAAAGGTCACTTTCAGGTAAATTCATCAAATATTCTAAATTTTCAACAATCATCATAAAAATCAAATCAACCAATACAGCTATCGTAATCATCTTTTAACTTTGACTTAATGGCAGTAAAACAAACATTTTAAGCTAGAATTGAATTCATTTGAAGCATGATATCCAAAGATATCCTGGGAATTCTGATTTTCAAAAAAAAAAAACAGAATTTTTGCAAATTTTCACATGAATCTGAAAATAACGATTATTGCTATCGATCAAACGAATTTGTTAAGACATCATTCAATCAATTCAGAACACTTTGTTTAGTTATCGCAAAAAAATCAATTTTTGAAAAATTTCGAAAATTTTAAAAATTAATAATGAATTAAATTTTAATTAATGGTGATTGGTAGGGCTCAACAATTCCAACATTTGAGGAAAAAAAAATTCAAATCCATCGATTCTTTAGCGAACAATCGAAGAAAAATTTGTTTACATACGTACGCACATACGTATGTCGCGTGCTAAATGGAAAAAGGTCGTATAAACCTAATCTAGGGAACATGAAATCTGGACGATTTGGGCTCTCTAGAATCATTTTAACCCAACTTTTGAGGACAAATTTTTTTTTGGCGCATACGACTTCCACAAATTTTTCTCCAATAGAAATTTCTCTAGAATAATGTTCATTTCTTTAAAAGTACAACCGAATATCATAAAATTGAAGCGAAAACGGTGAAAGGTTTTTCTTATTTTCCCACTACTGGAGAAATATTTGTCAAAATGAAAATAGCATTTTCGGACTTTTTAGATCACAATGGGTCGATATAACACGAAAAATCCCAAACTCAAATACGAACGATTACAATGCTTCCATTCAGAAGCAAAAGAATCGTTAATATAAATTCCTCTCCCTCCTATAAAAAATTTAAAAGGGCGCAGAATCTATATCGATTATGTAAAAAAAACCATGAGTTTTGTTATCCAACAATCAACTCAGAAAGTAAACGTTATCACCAAACTTTTCGAATGCCCTTATCAGAAATTGATTTCTAGGATGCTTGGGATATCGTTCTTGTAGTATAATGTAATAATTTATGCATCCATGTAGAATAAAAAATATTAAGAAACAATCCACTCATTATAAAAAATCTTTCTCCCAAATTTCCGGCGATAGAATATTAAAACAATTTATCACATAGATCCCTCGTTTCTCTATCAAAATAATGACGAGTGCAAGAGCAAATTTCCCTTAATTTTCCAAAAACTAACCAACGTTATTATTCAATCATCACCAAGCATCCACCGCTCCAAAAATAATTGCAGGCACCAAAAAGTCGTGAGTTTATTTTTAAAAAACCATACCTATAATCATTATCCCCTGATCCTGGTCTTGGAAATAATAAATCATCAAAATAACTAGGGAAGGGTAGGGTAAAACGGACACTTTTGACTTTTTTTGGAATATTCATGACGTGTTGAATTGTTCATGAAATGGAATAATTTTATTTTTCAATTGAAAAACAATGATTCCTCTTTGTGATGAGCTGAGACTGAGCGCAATTGATAAATCTGTTTCTGAGTTACGAATATTTTTAAAAAATTCAAAAGTGTCCATTTTACCCTACCCTCCCCTATCCCACAAACCTCGATATCTCAGATTGTTTGGTGTTGGCCTCAGGAATCTTCTGATTCGAATTGCTCCCCTTTAACCTCTTGAGGCAATTTTTCTCATCAACCGACTGTGACTCCTTGCCTGTTTTTCCTATAGCTCCACGATTCATTATAACCCAGAGACTTTAATGATTTTATTCAGGGACCACTGAATCTCTCTCCACGCCCTGCTATTTATTTTCTTGTTTTTTCGTTCAACTCGTTTTCTTTCACCAATTTCCGGGGTACCGCTACTCGCACGCGTCCCCCCACAGGCCGGCTGACAATTGCTATTGAGAAAAACCCAATCGAATTGATGAAAATTACCCAGCACAAGTGCCAAAGATCTTCTCCCTTAATTCTATTTAAAACCCAAATTCCTGACAGCATGCAACCAACGGATCGTGAATTCTCTCGACGAATTTCCAGGAGGGTAAAAAACTACGTCCCCGAACCCCCAGCACGCACACACATACACAAACACACACAATACACCAAAGGGAAACACAAAATGACGCCGTGTAATGCCGCCTATCGGTTCGCCGTAAATACTACAAGTGTAGGAAAATGATCCTCGTATTTTTATCAGTCCTCGCCCCCGAGATTAATTATCCAACTAATTTACGTAACAAACGCGTGGAGTTCACTCCACCCAAACCCAAAAATCTAACAATGATAGAGTAGGTTAAGAATTATATGATTGAAACAATAATTACCGGTGTCGTTTGGAGCCTCTCGACGACTCTCTCTCGTGATTCTCCTTGTTACACTAATTAAAGCGTAAAACTGGGGGCACAGTTTTCAGGTTTCAATGGCCCTGCATGCGGGAGTCTGGCTTTTCACGGAACAGAGGCACGCGCCCTCGTCTACACCGTCGGATAACGTAAACGCTTTCCATTCAAGTGTGACGATAAATAAAGAGAGATGGAGGAATATTTGGAATGGGGTGTGGGGTAATGGGGGGTCGAGGTGGACAACATTGAGAGGATATTTGAGAGGAGGGGGAATTATTGGAAATTTATTGGGTATTCGCGGTTGGCGAGAATTTATTGTCGGATGGTAAAGCACAGGGAAATGGTGGATAGATGGCGTCCTTGGAACGAAATAGGGACCCTACGTGGTAACTAGCGGTCTACGCGACAAAATTATCAGCCATTTTGGCGTTCTTGGTTGAGTTTTGTGGTTCGAGGTTGAGTGGTCGTTCCCCTGGCGTTTGTTTCGTTTATTTGAGCCTTTTTGGAGCGTGTGTAGCGGATAATATTGTTGAAGTATTTTTCCGTATTTTTTGAGACAAAGAATATCCGTAAGGGATATTTATCGAGCAGTTGAGGTTATTGAAACATAACGATTTGGAAGAAACGATAGAATGTCGATTGGAGTACCGATTAAAGTGCTGCATGAGGCGGAAGGCCACATCATAACCTGCGAGACCAATACCGGTGAAGTTTATCGTGGGAAATTGATCGAGGCTGAGGACAATATGAATTGTCAGATGCAGGGGATCACGGTGACGTACAGGGATGGAAGGTCTGCACAGTTGGAGAATGTTTACATTCGGGGGTCTAAGATTAGGTTTCTCATACTGCCTGATATGTTGAAAAATGCTCCGATGTTTAAGAGACCTGGGGGGAAGGGCTCTGGCACTGCTGGACGTGGAAAGTCTGCGATACTTCGGGCACAAGGTAATTAATTTATTATTTCCATTTTTTGTTTTCGTCTTCATTTTTTATGGGATTTCGATCGGATTTTCGAGGGGGATCACTATGAGCTAATTTTTCTATATTTTTTATGCAGCAAGAGGACGAGGACGAGGGCAGAATCAAAGAGGCAGAGGCACGGGCTCTGCCCCTTGGCTCAATCAACAGAATCAACCTGGTGGGTCAGCTCCTGGCAGAGGAAGGGGCTAATAACTTGGATTCCCACTCTATGCTGATAAGATTCTTAGATATAAGGAACTATTATCATACCCAACTATTTTTCTTCATCAACTTCTGAATGATTGATTATCGTATGTTCAGGTATTTTTTATCGAAGAAGTGTGGGGAGGATATTTGCTTTGGCAAGTATCGTTTGTGAAATAAAATTGATAAAAAAAGTCCTTTGGTTGTGGAATTTTTCTCCTGAGCTTTATTATTTTCTACTAATTTTTAGGATTGATTAACAAAAAAAGTAATGGCACAGGTTTTTCCTTTCCTTCCTTGAGAAATATTCAAAATAAACAAAACGTATTCGGAGGAATTGTTTAATGAGTCTATCATATCTCGTGGAATATCATAGGGGTGGGTGGGGTAAAAGGGACACTAGACTTTTTTTTAAATTACTCATGACTCAGAAACAAATTTATCAATTGAGCCCAGTTTAGGCTCATCACAAAGGGAAAAAACTGTTCTTTGCATTGAAAAAATATATATTAAATTCCATCAACATTTCAACCTGTCATTAACATTTTTTAAAAAGTCAAATTTTACCCCAAACTTAATTATCTTGGTAATTTGTGGTTTTAGGGGAAAATGTCGAAGGAAAATTTTTGGAGCAAGTTTCACGATTTCATCTTGATGATGCATGATTTCAGGGGAAAATGTCAGAGAACAATTTTTGTAGACCATTTTCGTAGCTACAAAAACGTATTCGAAATATTTGTTTAATAAGTCTATCATATCTCATGGAATATCATAGGGGTGGGTGGGGTAAAATGGACACTCTAGACTTTTTTTAAATTTGACTCAGAAACAAATTTATCAATTGAGCTCAGTTTAGGCTCACCCCAAAAGGAAAGATTTGTTCTTTGCATTGAAAAAAAAAATTAAATTTCAACATTTCAACCTGTCATTAACATTTTAAAAAAAGTCAAACGTGTCCATTTTACCCCAAACCCAGTTGTCTTGGTAATTAGTAGTTTTAGGGAAAAATGTCAGAAAACAATTTTTGTAGGCCATTTTCGTAGCTATAAAAAAGGTCATTTAGCATTTCTTCCTAAAAGCATCTGCTCCTGAGATAAATCGAAAGATAGCAAAGCTCATTACTTCCTCCTCTCTCCCGCCGGCCCCTTCATCATTCGGTCGGATTTAAATGCTCCGGTAATGAAGCTCTACGCATGCGTACTAACACATAACCCCCAAATAATCTTGAAATGAATGAGGCGTTATACCACCTTCATTCCGTAGTTGATTCGATTGACTTTGTAAACAAATAACTCTTGGACAGTCAATCAACTTCATCTACACCAGGTGTATGAACGCATTGAAATAGAAAAATGTCCAGTCTCTACGATCAAGTGAAACTGCTGTACGATCAGCAATTGTACTCCAATGTGATATCCCTCGTGAGTGCTCCGAAAAATGTCAAATAAATTATTGAATGATTCCCACGTCATTATTCTTGATAAAATACGATTGACAAGAGTTCTTCCTTCCAGGCCAATCTAGTATTATCCCTAAGTGACCACAATGGAGACCTCGTCTCGCCAACAGCCAAATTTCTCATTTATGTTCACTGTGCCGACTCGCATTTTCACCTGGGTGAATACAGAAAAGCCGAATCGTTGTATAAAAAGTCATTGCAGTTTAGAAAATTTTTGTTGAAATCCAAGGGAGCGACTAAACCTTCCCAGGAGAGCCACAAGGATTTATTATCGGATATTGATATAAAGTATCAAATTCATGTGTGCTTGATTAAATTGAAGAGCCAACTCGAGGCACTGCAAGTGCTGCAGAGCATTCCAGCTAAACAAAGGACTGCAAAGGTACAAAGGAATGATCAAATGTGGACGTCCAAATGAAAAGAGGCCAGCTTGTCGATTCTAGTTTCCGAGATATTTAAGGGCGGGTGGGGTAAAACGGACACAAGACTTTTTTTTAATTATTCATAACTCAAAAAAAAATTGATCAATTGAGCTCAGTTTAGGCTCGTCACAAAGAGAAAGAATTGTTCTTTGCTTTGAAAAAAAAATTATTGAATTTTATCAACATTTCAACCGCTTATTAAAATTTAAAAAAAAATCAAAACTGTCCGTTTTACCCCAACCTCCCCCACGTTTTTGTGTCAGCAACTCCCATTTGCGCCAATGTTAAATTGTTTTTTCCATCTTCTCCAACGACGTCATTTTTGACCCTGTGAAGGTCATTTTGGGCTCAAAATGTGCGGAATATTATCCGTATTATCAGAGTATACATAACACCATATCGACAAAATAGTCCCTTTTCATGCGAATGTCCACAAATAATGTTTTCAACTTTTATGTAGGGTAAATGACCCTACGCTCGTCTAGCTAAGATGAAGCATTATTAGTCCAATATTTCTATCGAAATGCGCGTGAAGAGGCGATGACTTAAATTAAATATCAGAGGGGAAAGCCTTCACAATTGGAATTCACTTACACTAATCATAATGATTACTATTTTTTAATAAATGTGTACGTCCACGTGAAAAGGGCCCACTTTGTCGCATTTATTTTGCGAGATATTCATGTTTTTGTGTTCACACCTTCCATTTAAACCAATGTTAAACTGATTTTTTGATCTTCTATACCGACTTCATTTTTCATACTATCGTGTTAATTTTGGGCTCAAAATTTGGGGAATCTCACTAGGATTACCGGAATATACGTAACTCTAAACCGACAAAATGGGCCCTCTTCATGTAGATGCCCACAAATAATCGTTCGCAAATGTATTAATCGTATTTCGCTCTTAATGGATTCTTGAGACTGTAAAAATGATCAAAATGTCGTAGCACCTGACATCTGAACGAGCATAGGGACAGGGACGAGCATAGGTACAGGCACCTTAGCAATAATTGAAGACACTGTGATTATTCATGAATTCATTCTGGAAATGAGACGAATGCTAAATTTAACCAAATGGTCTCATCCTAAAGGAAATCCTATAGACAATTGGGATATTTTCTGTAGAACTATCCTTTTTGCTTCAGAATAGAAGCATTGTAATCGTTGAAATTTAAGTTTCGGATTTTTTGACGTGGATACGTCTATGGTTTCAATACGGGGGGTCATTTTGGGGAACGATCCTTATGTGCAGCGTCATCTATCGGAATTCTAGAAAATTCTGGACATTTCCAGGTAATTCGAGAATTTTTTTTAAATTTCGAAAAAAATTCAAGGAGTTTCTAGAAATTTCGAGGAAATTCAGGGAATTTCTAGAAAATTTGAGGGAATTCAAGGAGTTTCTATAAAATTCGAGGAAATGCAAGGAGTTTCTAGGAAATTCAAGACAGAAAGGAAGACCATGAACGTATCCACGTACAATTATAGTTGTATCAAAGATACAGCCGTCTGTAATTTTTTATATTATATCGACCCATTGTGATCCAAAAAGTCCAAGAATGCAATTTTTAGACCGTGTTCGTACGTATGTGTGATGTATATATGTGTGTGGTAAAGTTTTTCTTCAATTGCTCGCTAATGAATGGATGGAAAAGAATTTTTTGTTCAAATGTAAGTATTGTTAAAATTTAATTCACTTATTAGTATTTTCAATTTTTGATTTTTTTCGAAAATAGGTTGTCCCACGATAACTAGAAAAAAAGATGTTCGGAATTGATTGAATGATAGCGTAACAAAATTGTTTGGATGTCCCTTTGACCGAGTTCGAAGATGAAGGCGATCGCAATAATCGTTATTTTGATTTATTCGAAAATTCTCAAAAATTTTGTATTTTTTGAAAATCCGAATTCCGGCGATATCTTTGAATATCATGCTTCAAATAAATGCAATAATAGCTAAAAATGTTTGTTTTAATGCCATCAAGTCGAAGTTAAAAGATGATTACGATAGCTATATTGATTAATTTGACTTTTATGTTCACTAGAAAATTGAATTGAAAATTGAATTCTTCATGAATTTCCTTGAAAGTGAGCTTTCTGATGGTTTCTTCAAATGTCATGTTTCAAATTCATTCAAATCGGCGTAAATAAAATTCTTCTATTAACATTTTATCAAAGGGCTGTGGGGAAAGATAGAACTGTAAAAAAGACAATCGGTTGTATAGAAGAAAATGGATAATAAGAATAATAATGCTGATAACATTCAACCAAGTTGAAAATCTGACATAATTAGGTAAAAGGAAATCGTATTCACTTTAATACAATGAAATAAACAATGAATTACACGCGATAGAAGGAAATTATGCGCAAAATAACCATTCGGAAGCATATTGCTAATTTATTAGCAAAAATAACTGCATTATATACAATACAAGAACAATTTTCCGCTTGTCTTTCTGTTGTTTGTTTTCAATTTTTATGTTTGTAGCCAATACTTTTTTATGGCACGATTGTTATTTTCCACTATCCAGGTGAATATGGCTCTAGCGAAAATATTTCAAGAGCAAGGCATGGAGCGGTCAGCAATAACAACCTACAAGGAAGTATTACGTGAGTGTCCCCTGGCACTCGAAGCAGCCGAAGGTCTCCTTGCCCTAGGGGTCAAAGGCATTGAGGTCAACTCCCTGATCGTCGGATCTTCCTCCAATCTACCTGGCCTCGACTGGCTAAACACGTGGATAAAGGCTCACGCCCACATTCACAATCGAGAGTACAATCACGCTGTGACAACTCTTCGTTCCTTGGATAATGTTAATTTTTTGAGGGACAATTTCAGTCTCCTAGTGACGATGGGCGAGTGTTATTATTATGCTGGGGACGACAAGAATGCACTGGCTTGTTTGAGAAGGGCGAAAACTATTGAACCAGATACTACTAAAGGGTAAAGAACGTTTTTTCTTCAACTTTTTTTTTTAACCAAAGAATATCCAAGATTTCAATAATGGAGTGGTAGAAAGATATCATTTCCACGGAAAAAACACTTTTTGTTATTAAGGATATCCAAGAACTTTGGGGATTTTTTCTTCAGTGAAATGCTTTTCTACTTTTGTAGTCGAACATCAGAGCTTTCATTTGAGCTCCATTTAATCCTGAGGTTCTGGACATTTTGCGATGACTTTTTTAAACTTTGCAGGCTTAAATTTGAATCTCGATATTGAACCGTTAGAAAACATTTTTTTAATCTGAAGAAAAATTTGAAAGTTTACTTTCGGAGAAAGATGGATGAAATAATTAAAAAATTGCAATTTTTAAAAACTACGAGTATTTTTTATAAATGATTTGTAAACAATCCATTTTTTACAATAAAAATCATTTGTTCGGAATCGTAATAAATTTATTTATATTCAGAATTTGACCAGAAATCGATTTCATCCTTTGATTTCACTTCCCTACTAATCTGAAATTGATAACAAAAAACCGAATATGCACTTTTTTTGTTTTAAGGCCCGGGTGTACTATCTTTCGAGTGTTATCTGGATTTTCTTTATCTTTCGTAATCCAAAATTGTCAATTAAGTGGACATCGCGTAGAAATTCCCAAAAATTATGATAGAATGATTAAAAAAAATAGCAAAAATTCTTAACTTTTTCAAAGAGCGTTTTTAATTGAGATTCAGAATGAGTTGAAAAAAAGTGGAAATTACAAATCTCTGATTCGCTGTGGCAAATTATCTATTAGCTGTCATTTTCCATGGTGGATAACAAAACATTAACTCCTCATGGGAAGTGACAGCTAGGTATCTTAATTTTCAAAACAGTGGTATCTTGTCATCTGCCATATTTATGTGATAAAAGTGTGATTAAAAAATTCACCAAAATATTACAACATTTTTCAAAGAGCCCTTTCCGTAATAAATGTCTCTGTGCGGTGTGGGAAAAGATTTACGAAATCAGTCTTCCCCCTGCATGATATTGGGCGACAGGCCATTTGTCACCGTCAATCAGATACATTTTTCAATTTCTTGTTATTCAACTTATTCAGAATATAAATTAAATGCTCTTTGAAAAAATTAAAATTTTTTTCTACTTTTTTTAAAATATTCTAACTATTAGATAGTACACCCGGGCCTTTATTCGATTAATCCATTCGGAAGCAAATTGCTAATTTATTAGCAAAAAAAACAGTACTCTTAACACTTGTGCGATGGGCCACTTGTTTTCCCCCTAAATTACATTCAGTGTCGTCCTGAAAATGAATAGTTAACTGTCCATGATATTTCATTTTTTTTCTAACAGTTTATATTGTTCGGTAAAAAAAGCTGATCAATTTTTTTTATTCCGTAGGCTCGACCTTTATGCCTCTGTTCTCCACAAAACAGGACACACAAAGGAATTAGAAAAATTGGTCCCGACGGTATCAACCGCTGGTGAATGTACATCCGAGGTGTACGTTGCAATGGCATATACTCTCTACGCAGCTCGAAAATTGAATCGAGCTAATACCCTGACATCGCAGGCTATCAATCTCAATCCATCAAACGTTGAAGCAATTATCCTTCGGGGGAACATTCTCATTGAGCAGAAGAAGTATCAGGATGCTTTGCATCAGTTTAGGCAAGCAATGCAGTTGAAACCGTATCGCTACGAGCCACACAAAGGTTGTGTCGATTGTTTCGTTGGAATGCATCGACTGAGGGAGGCGTTGAATATTGCCAGTAGTGGGTGTAAACAGCTCGGACACACTCCAAGAGCTATTTCGGTGAGCAAATAAAAATTAATGAATTTATTTGAATCTATTTCTTTAAAAAAAATGAATTCGAACACTTCGAAATACTTTGTATAATATTTTAAAAACTATCTGAGTTTTAACGTTTGAAATAGTAATCTGATTTTTCGTATTATACTTGTAAATTTTTTTAAATTGAAGAGCAAATTGTTTGTGGATTTTCTTATTCATTTTGGAAATTCAAGAAAACTTAATTTTTTATGTTAGGTGATGATTGATATTTTCATGCCAGCCTGAATTCTTGAACTCATTCTGAACATTGAAGATCATGTTCAATTAAAAATTCAGCATAATAATTTCCTGAATGTTTTAAATTTTCAATAATTTTCATTATCATTTCGAACTGAGAACTAGAATTTCATCCAAATGAGCCGTTGTTGAAAATTCAAGTAAAAATTTGATTATTTTCCTTATAATTTCAAGAGAAATTTGCCAGTAGCATATTGAGATTTTAAGATGTTCAAACATAGCTAGTTAGATAAACTGAAAACTCCTTTAGACAAAAATTGAAAGAAATTCGTATTCTCCAAAATAAATTACAAAATATTTCCTAATCACTCATTTACAACAATCCAAGATATGAAGAAATATATGGACTCTTTTTTTTTAAACAAATTATTCTAAACATTTTCAACAAGAAAATCTTTATCAGTTGTCTTCTTTCGGAGAAGGTATTTAAGGGGAGATTACTATGAGTTTTAAAAGTCGTGGGCTATTGGAATGAGATTTCTTATACATTGTAGATCGATTATATATGTCTAAAATCGAATAATTAGTGCAAAAAAAAATGTTTATTGTTCGTTTGTCCCGCAGACGCTTAAAATGTTAAAAATAGTCCAGGGTCTACAATTTTTGAGCTACAGAGGTTTTTGGACGTGCATACATTTATGATTTCAATATGGGGGTTCATATTTTGAGAAACGGTCCTTATGTGCAGCGCCATCTATCGGAATTGTAGAAAATTGTAGACATTTCGGGGTAATTCGAGAAGTTTCTAGAAATTTCGAGGAAATTCAGGGAATTTCTAGAAAATTCGAGGGAATTCAAAGAGTTTCTAGGAAATTCGAGAGAATTCAAAGAGTTTCCAGAAAATTCGAAGAAATGCAAGGAGTTTCTAGGAAATTCGAGACAGAAGGAAAGATCATGGACGTATACAGCCGCCTGCAATTTTTTTTCAAGATTTTTGAAAAAATGCGTGCAACAACAATTACGAATTAGTTTTTTGAAATTCAACTCCTACACCCCCAATTCCGATATTTTTTTAATTAAAAAACTACACCATTCATGTAAAATAGCCCGAAAAGTGTTCTTGGAAGAATTGAGAATATATTATAAATATTTTAAGAATAATTTTTCTGCCTATTTTAGATGAAGGGCTGAAATTTTTATATCAAACAAAGCAAAATTAGCTGTGTAGGAGTCGAATATCAAAAAAGTAATTCGTAATTTTTATTGTACACATTTTTTTACAAATTCTGAAAAAAAAATCTCTAGCTAAAAATTGGAGGCCTTGGACTATTTTTAACATTTTAAGCGGCTGCGGGGCAAACGAATAATAAACAATTAATTTTTTTGGACTAACTATTCGATTTTAGACACATATAATCGATCCTCAATGCATGAGGAATCTCACTCCAATAGCCCAATAAGTTATAACTTTTAAAACTCATAGTAGTCTCCCATCAAGTCAATTTGATTAATTTCATCAATTTCTTCCAGCTCTATGCATCTGTGTTGATGAAAGATCCGGTATCAGTCCCGAAAGCGAAGAATCTTCTTGAAAAAGCTTTAGCCCAAGACGAGTCCTACCTCCCGGCAGTCTACTTCCTAGCTGAAATTTACGAGCAAGAGATGAACCTCGAGCGTGCGATTGAACTCTTGGAGCGTCAGGTCGACATCCAGCCCACTTGTAAGCTCCACCAGATGCTGGGTGACCTCTGGGCAAGAGTACACAATGAGGAGAAAGCCATTGATCACTATGCAATTGCCCTGAATCTCGACCCAAGTAACAGGAGAGCTCTCGAGGGAATGCACAGGCTGGACAATACCGTTTCGAAATTCGAATCTTCGTACTATATGACTGTCGGCGAGGAACACGCAGACACGACGTTTGACGTTGGCGATGGCCTCCCCGACTCTGACAATGACGAAGCTAACGAAGAGAGCGAAACCGAGGCTGTGTGGTCGGACATGGATCTAGAGGCCAACAGTCAATAGTGACGATTTAAAAAAGTTGAAAAATTAATTTAATTTCTGCCTTCACCGTCAACTGGAGAGATGATGCTCGTCTTACAAGACTGATGTATTTATATTTGTTGAATTACTGCGATTTTGTTGAATCACTGCGAACCAATTATTGACACAGTTTATGAACGTTCAAACGCAACTATTTTTTCTTCAATCGGTAATATTTACACAATTAATTGAGTTGTATAGTGAAACAAAGTAAATAAATTGAACGATGTTTTAAAAATACCCATTTCCTTATGGTCATAATTTCTCTTCATGAATAATAATGGACTTCATCGAATTGACTTACTTCGTTCGTTTCATAACTCTCTCCTCTCCTCTTATTAACACGTACGAACAAATTTAATAGAAAAACCCAGCGAATTTGATAGAAAATTCTATTGAATTTGTATTCGTTTTTGACTGATTCGATTAAATTGTTCAATAGAAAATATTCAAGAGAAACAGTCAATAGAATTCCATTCTTCTACATGACTTATTCTATTCAGGTATTTTCTATAGAATTTGTACGGGTCAAAAACATTGGTGTCAAATACATTCTTGATTTTTTCACATCTAATGAAAAAAAATTCAGATTTTAGTCTTTGATTACAATGGAAATATTAATTTTCACATAAGACACTGGGTTAAATTCTGATTTTTAAACATTTCTTCTTTTAAAAACCAAAATGATAAAGGCCCGGGTGCACTATCTTTCGAACGTTATCTTGATGTTTTTTTTTCATCTTTCGGCATCTGAAATTGTCAATTGAGTCCTGCAACATGCAGAAGTTTTGAAAAATTATGAAACAATAAGCAAAAAAAAATAGAAGAAATTCTCAATTTTTTCAAAGCGTATTTTTAATTGATATTCAGAATAAGTTGAATAACAAAAAATTGAAAAATGTATCTGATTTACGGTGACAAATGGCGGCCTGTCACCCAATATCATGCAGGGGGAAGACTGACTTCGTAAATCTTTTCCCACACTGCACAGAGACATTTATTACGGAAAAGGCTCTTTGAAAAAATTGTAATATTTTGGAGAATTTTGTAATCATTTTGTAAAAATGGCAGATGACTACATACCACTGTTTTGAAAATTGAGATACCTAGCTGTCACTTCCCATGAAGAGTTAGTGTTTTGTTATCCACCATGGAAAATGACCACAGCTAATCAGATATTTGTAATTTCCACTTTTTTCAACTCATTCTGAATCTCAATTAAAAACGCTCTTTGAAAAAGTTCAGAATTTTTTCCATTTTTTTAATCATTCCATCATAATTTTTGGGAATTTCTACATGATGTACCACTCAATTGACAATTTTGGATTACGTAAGATAAAAAAAATCCAGATAACATTCGAAAGATAGTACGCCCGGCCCTTACAAATTGAGAAAAAAAATTGGAATTCCGAATCTAATCGAGTCTTCTGCAATTTTTTTGCAGTTTTCAATAATCTTTGAATTTACCGTAAGGGTAGAGCTACTTAAACCATTTGACCACTTCGCTATACTGAAGTCCACGTATGAAAATTTCTGGACGATTTTTTCATACGTGTGGTGCTGTTATGTTCATTATTATTGTTAAACTCTGCATATTTTGCCATGATCTCAAGGAGATATGAGTTTGTCTTGAGGTCCAGTTTGGTCGACGGAAGGCTTTGGAATGCACTCAAAGAATCCGAGAAGATGAGGAAGTTGTGATTCATGTGTTGAACAGCCAAATCAAGAGCCGTGCTGAGGGCCACACATTCGGACTTCAAATCAGTTGGCGCTTCGCTTACTGTATTGCATGTGTGTGTGGTGTTACATATATTATGCAGCTGTGCGGCTGTGCGGTCTGTCGTTCACGTCGTTCAACATGGCGAATGTTCGAGTTCTCGGTAGATTCGCCAGCAATGTTTTGAGTACGTAAAACTAATTGAATTCCTGATATAAAATGAAGAATTTATTAATAAAATCAAAATCACATTCTGCCCGTAATCATTACTTCCTCAAGAACCAAGAATTACTGAATATTGTGTAATCGGTTGGGTCACTCCATTGGGAGGTTATCTTCCAACGACAGAGCTGCTCAAAATGCTCTCCAAAACGTCATTGGGAAACTCGGTTTTTTTTTTAATTCAGTAATTTGATTTCAATGCTTTATTTTGCAGCACAGAGATCTTTGAAGGCACTACCCCAGGCGGCAACGACATGTCAACCCTCTCGGAGTAAGTACGTCATCATCACTCCTAACGACAGCCCAGCCTGGCCCAATGTACATTCAAGTGAGGCGATGCATCTTTATTTGAGAGAAATTGGCAATGGATTCCTTGTTACGTTATCTGCATTGTTTAAGGAACCAGTAACTATCAATTATCCCTTTGAGAAAGGACCACTGAGTCCGAGGTTCAGAGGAGAACACGCACTGAGAAGGTACCACCTGAATATAATCAAGAGTTGAATTCAGTAGCGAAGTGGTAAAACGGTACAAGTCAATTTTGACTATTGACCAGTTTTCAATGAATATCTCGGAACCTAAGGGAGATGGCAAATTTTTGTTATAACCTTTTTTGCAGAGCCGATTGAGAGCTACAACAAATGTAATTCTGAAAATTTCGCTATCTCCCTTCGAGTCCGAAATATTTCTCAAAAACTCAACTGGGAGATAAGTCGACTTAAACCGTTTTACCACTTCGCTACTGAATTAATAAGCCCTCACCACATTATTCTAAAGGATAGCTGAATAGAATTTTAATATTTAGTATAGGACTTTATTTCACAGGAAGAGCTGTAGACATTTAAATTTCCCATGGAAAAAATTCTGCAAAAAAAAAAAATTTGTATGTATTTTTGTAATGTAGAATCAGAATTTATATAGAATACGCTTCTATTGAGAATTCTTCATAGAACTTTTTCCATGAGAACTCTGCATTCCTATAAATCTCTCTGTAAAAGGAGTTTTTATAGACAATGTACGAATTCTTATTCCCAAGTGAATTATTACCTTACAATAATTGATTGCAAAAACAATCGAATATTTTCAACAGAATGTGCAATACTGACTTGCAATGTTTTTACTAAATCACTGCGGGATTCAACGTTTTGATTAAGAGGATTAAGATTATTATTAATATTTTTTGGCATTTCTGGATAGATACCCATCGGGAGAAGAACGATGCATTGCTTGCAAGCTCTGCGAAGCCATCTGTCCAGCGCAGGCAATCACAATTGAAGCTGAGGAGCGATCCGATGGCTCCAGGAGAACAACCAGATACGATATTGATATGACAAAGTGTATTTATTGCGGGTTCTGCCAGGAAGCCTGCCCAGTAGATGCTATAGTTGAGGTGAGTTACATTCGATTGGATAAAACCGAAAGTAATTCAATATAATAGGAAATGGAAAACAAAAGTTTGATTGAAATACATTACTATAATATCAATAGTAGAAATACTTCTCTTCCTATATTGGATTACAATTTGCAGTCAATCATTGAAGAATTGTTTGGATCCAAAAATTTTTTTATACGAAAACAATTAAGTGGTAGAAAAATATAAGTAAATCTAATTTCGCTATCAGTTTTTGGAGAATATCTGCTAGTTCTGGGTAGATGGAATAATTCTTATAAGGATTTTTCAGTAAAGGAAGATGGAATGGACAAAGAAGATTCCGATTAGTGTTTCATTACCTCCAGTAAATTCGGGGATATTAATTGAAATTGTCAATTGAGTCCTGTATTATGCAGAAGTTTTGAAAAATTATGAATGAATAATCAAAAAAAAGTAGAAGAAATTCTCAATTTTTTCAAAAATCATTTTTAATTTACATTCAGAATAAGTTGAATAACAAGAAATTGAAAAATGTATCTGATTTACGGTGACAAATGGCGGCCTGTCACCCAACATCATGCAGGGGGAAAACTGATTTCGTAAATATTTTCCCACACTGCACAGAAACATTTATTACGGAAAGGGCTCTTTGAAAAAAGTTGTAATATTTTGGAGAATTTTTTAATCACCCTTTTATCACATAAAAATGGCAGATGACTACATACCACTGTTTTGAAAATTGAGATACCTAGCAGTCACTTCCCATGAGGAGTTAATGTTTTGTTATCCACCATGGAAAATTACAGCTAATAGATAATTTGCCACAGCGAATCAGATATTTGTAATTGCGACTTTTTTCAACTCATTCTGAATCTCAATAAAAAACGCTCTTTGGAACAGNAAAATGGCAGATGACTACATACCACTGTTTTGAAAATTGAGATACCTAGCAGTCACTTCCCATGAGGAGTTAATGTTTTGTTATCCACCATGGAAAATTACAGCTAATAGATAATTTGCCACAGCGAATCAGATATTTGTAATTGCGACTTTTTTCAACTCATTCTGAATCTCAATAAAAAACGCTCTTTGGAACAGTTTAGAATTTTTTCTATTTTTTTTATCATTCTATCATAATTTTTGGGAATTTCTACATGATGTACCACTCAATTGACAATTTTGGATTACGAAAGATAAAAAAAATTCAGATTGCATTCGAAAGATAGTACACCCGGGCCTTAAGAGAACATCTCAAAATAGAGTTGTTGAGTCATTTTTAATCGGAAGCTACTCTTGATTCAATCATTGACCAGTATTAATGATTACATCCTACCTAAAACCTGCTCGATTAAAAAATGTGAAAATATCAGGAATATTTTGAATATTTAATCCCAACTAATTCTGTTTTCCACAATTTTTTTTATGTAAATTGATTTATTTATGTTATTGGAATTTCAAATTTTCAGGGGCCCAACTTCGAGTTTTCCACAGAAACCCACGAGGAACTGTTATACAACAAAGAGAAACTTCTCAACAATGGTGACCGATGGGAATCTGAAATTGCTAGTAACATTCATGCTGATCACCTGTATCGTTAATCTAATCTCATGGATACCTAGTCGTTGTCCTTGGGCAATATAAAAAGAAAAACCCTTGGTGTTTTTTTCTAATTAAACGCAAAGCTGAAAAAATATTGTTGAACTTTACCAACAAATGCCTGTAAATTAATACAATGTGGATATGTTTATCGAATAAATGAAGTAGAGGTTAAATATTCCAGTGATACATTTTTTCACGTAAAATACGAAATTTCCTTTCGCAGATTTATTTCATCAATGTACATAAATATTCTAATAGCAAGACGAATGGCTTTTATGGGGGGAAAATGATGCGGAAATATGTTTAAATACACGTGGAGTTTGCAGACATTTGCATGGATTGTTCAAAGAAAAAGAGAAGCATGGCACACACGTGACAAATACAGTTATCACAAATTGATTTTTCAGCACACAAAACATTTGATACACTCAAGATATTACTACATTTTCGTTGACTTGTTAAAAATATTTGATTTTACTTAATTTCCACTGCTATTTAATTATATTTCTTCGTGATTGGAATTCATCATTGATTAGATGGGAATGGAGATATTGATAGAAATGTTTTCAATCAGATTATAATTTTTTCATTTCGAAACACTAGATGATGCACATGGAATTGATAATTCGTTAGGAGAGAAACAGTCCCTAGGAACAATAGATTTTTACTCATGCTTGTCTTATTCGCAATAATGTTTTATTCTAAATAACAGTATTCAACCTAGAAACATGACTCCATTTATTAATTTCCTTCAAAAAATCCTAGCTACTCACAGTATCAAAATATTCAATCAAATTGGCCAGAAAGGGATGAAAAACGTTCAATGAGTTTCTTCCTATTTTGTGACCATTGAGGGTTTTTTAATTCTTTATTGCTTATCGCTATCGCAGCGTCCAGTGGGCCTGGCTTTTGTCTTTTTATCCTATTTTTTTTTCGTTCGAAAACTTCACATCAGGAATGTCTGCCACCAAATACTGCTGTTACTTTATTTATCAAATATTCATCAACAATGTGGACACATTCTCTCAGCAATTCTCACTTTAATCGTTGCATTTATCGTAGACACGTGAAAACAAATGTGGAAAATACACTGTTAAAAAATGTCATATCAATTGATTTGTTATCAATTCCTAAATATTAATTCGAAGAAATTCACAATTGGGACATATTTATAATCAACTTTTGAACTTGACAAATTAATTTCATTTGATTTTATGTTCAATTCTATGTACTTATCAATGCAACAATTTTTAACTGTGTGAAAAAATTGATTCAATTTCATTGGCCCCGTGGATCTCTGACGACTTCATGCACAAAATTATGAAAACTTGATTATACTTTGAACTATATGCTGGTAAAAATTCGTTTGAGCAATAAATTCGAGGATCCGGCAACATGATTTATAAGATTATGGAAAGAATAATATTCACTCCAGAGCAGCAAATGATTCCATACAATTCAATTATTTTACCTAATTTCTGCAACCTAGAAGTGTTGTAATTTCAATCAAAAACGATTGAATCAAAAAGTGAAAAAAAACATATAATTGAACAAGCAATATCTATACCCGACGTTGTGAATTCATTGTACATATTTACAATCAATTATTCGTAGACTTAAGATAAGCTTATCTCTGATGGACTGAGTGAAAATTCAAACTTCATTATTCAATAATAACTGTAGGAAACGCCGGTGCGAGTAAAACTTTGTGTTGTGTAAATTATACATAATTGTTTTGGACTTCAACATATCGCGTTAGCGTTTGAATAAAATTTTCCTAAATCTCAATCCGCTGATGGCTTTGTACGTCTGCGGTGATGATTACGTGCCAAGGCGTGGATTATTGTTATGAGGAAGTAACATAACATCAGCATCACAAATTTTTCAAACAGCCACGCTATCGTCGTTGTTCCCTCCTGAAATATTGTTCATTTAATGAGTTGAAATTTCATGCGCATTGCGATTTTGCATTGGACATTGTGGCATTTTTCAAGTCCTGAGATGAATAATTTGATTCACTACACTGAGAGAAAAACGACAAAGTTCTCAAACAAGTCTTACTTGTGGCAAGAAAATATTTTTTTGAAAATTATCAAAAAAGGATTTTTTTGTGCCAAACATGCAGAGAGTGCCCCGGAATGAAAAATTTTCGTCGGAAAAATAGACTTAGTAGTTCAGAAAAAAATGCATTCTCTGGACACGCAAGAAATGTCATTTTTAGCACTACTCCTTCGTTATTCGATACTCCCATTCGTATTTTGTTGCCGAAAAATCGTTGTTTTATGCGGAACAAGGGATAGTAGTTTTTCGTTTCGGTTGTATAATAATCACAGACAAGAAATGAACCCTTAAATGAAACAATGATAATGATATGATAGCAATCTTGTAACTTAGGGATAAAATATTTGTTGGTAAGTTTTCCTCCATATGAGATATTTTCATCCTGAAAAGGCACCGTCTGGTGTGAATCATTCGCCTCTTGAGCCAAATATTTCACTGCTGTCGAAAGCAGAACAATTATTCATGTTTGAGACTTTCAAATTCGATCCAAACAAATTCTTTTTTGGCAATTTTCAACTAGCGATTTTCTTGTCCCAAACAAGACTTGTTTGACGTGTTCGTTTTTCTCTCAGTCTAGGAAAGAAGTGATACGAGACACATCAAGTCTCCTTGGAAATCAGTTTTTGAAGAATATTTCACAATTAATTCGCAATAGAGCTGCACGAAAGAGTTATTCAGACAATGTTCTCTATTTCAGTTCGATCCAGACATGTTTTCAAAAATTGATCTTCAAGTAAAATTTATGTATCTTGATTCACCATTTCATTAAATATGTAATAACTTACCACGGAGGATGAATTATGCAATTTATTCTTCTGCTCAACTAAATATTTTTTAAATGGCTCCTGGAACTTGGTACCCACGTAAGGAATCACAGCCAAAAGTCCAATAGCCTTATCCAACAATTCTTCATTGAATGCTATTATCACAGCTAGCTGTTGAATATGCATTTTAACAATGGCTTTACCAATAAGTGTAGCACCAAAGAAAGTCCAGAATGGAATGCGATAATGACCACAAGTCAACCCAGCGAGGTCAAAAAGTGGATTTGGAATCTGCAAGAAAGAAAAATTACATAACAATAATCTGATGAAATTTTTAGTCTCCAATTCTCGATTTCTGTGATTAATTCTATTCATTGTATCAAAAGACAAAGAAAGGACTTGAATTCATGGGTATTGTTTCCTTATTCGAAAAAAAATCGATTTTCAAACTTTCCGGAGACATTGAAAAATTAATTTTTTTATTTCTTCCCGCCTGTGTTTTTAAAATATTTTTTTTCATTTCTTCTCGTGAAAGTTAGATCGTAAAATTCCAAAATATTCATATCCCCCCATATTCAACCAAAACCAGGGACTCCAAGTTTCCACCGACACAAATGAAGAAAAATAAATTTCCTCCATTTTCTAGACAATCATCCCTTTTCAAAAATTTGAAGTCTCCAATCCGTGATTTTTTGCAATTCATTGCCACTTATGTAATTCTATTCATTCTATCAAAAGACCAGGAAAAAGATTGAATTTATGGGTATTTTTTCATTATTCGAAAAAAAAATCGATTTTCAAACTTTTCGGAGACATTGAAAAATTCATTTTTTTAGGTCTTCCCGATCACTTTTTTTGCATTTTTTAAAATTCTTCTCGCTGAAACATTGATATCCCCCTAATACTTGAAAAAAAAGTCATTCGAACTTGGTGCCGCCATAAAAGGAGAAAAAGTTCATTTTCTAGTTGATTATCTCTTTCTGATTCTTTTTTCCTTTCCTCTTCATATAATAATAATTGGAATGCGACCATAAGAATAAGAAGTACCGATATCCTTTTACCATATGAATATAAAAATAGATTTGAAAAATTTTCAGGAATACAAAGAGAGATTTTTCTATTACTCGAATGAGATTTCAAATGACTTTTGTTTTATGTGTTTGTTTTGATCATAAAGAAAATACACTTTTGATTGATCTTTAACATAATTCCTCTTCATTCAGTGTTATAACTTGTGAATTAAGGAAAAAAATATGTATAGGGGCGAGGGGCAAAATGAAACAGTAAATAAAACGACTATTTGACGCAATTCAAGCAAAAAAAAATTTATTCGTAGCAGTACTAATGAGAATAATAATTTTTTATTCAATAGAATCGAAAATAAGCTTTGACGGGGGAAAATCGTCAATGAATTAATTGAAAAGAAAATGAAACAGCAAAATCCAAAGTGCAAAGCAAGGCCCAGGTGAAGACCCAGAGGGGAAAAAAGGAACATGTGATGCTGAATTCCAATCGAATAATCCATTGACCAAATTTTCACCCATCAAAACTTCTCAATAATTTTCCATTCTACTGATTGGAAAATTATTATTCTCATCAGTACTCCAAGAATAAAAAAATTTGTTTTGCTTGAATCGCGTCAAACTGCCGTTTTTTTCCATTTTGCCCCACGCTCCCCCATAATAAGGATACGAATGGACAAAGTTAAACCAATCCAATTCTGAAGACGGAAATGGAAATAAAATGAAATAAAATGGTATAAATTTATCTAGCGTCTAGTCAATCAAATAATTTCAAAAAATCCAAAGTCTGAAATAGATGGAAAATTATTATTCCATCAGTACTCCAAGAATAAAAATTTTTTTTTTGCTTGAATCGCGTCAAACAGTCGTTTTTTTCCATTTTTCCCCACGCTCCCCCATAATAAGGATACAAATGGATAAAGTTAAACCAACCCAATTCTGAAGACGGAAATGGAAATAAAATAAAATAAAATAAAATAGTATAAATTAATCTAGCGATCTACTCAATCAAATAATTTCAAAAAATCCAAAATAGATTATTCTGTGTATTCACCGAGGCACACGCAAGGATTCCCAGGAACCCAGCCTTTTGCACAAAGTGCTTCATGGCAAGCTTCAGCTTCATGAGAATAGGAACATTGGCTCCATTCTCCAACGCCTCGAGTGCCTCAAGCTCTTTAAGATCCTCCTGATCATACTCGTGACTCTTATCAGTTTGTCGACTGTTCCTGGCTGCCCGAGCCATGAAATAAGGTGGCAGCTCCCCAAGAGCAGTCCCCGCACCCCAAAGCATGGCTTCAACCCTGACTTTCCTCATAATATTAAGAATTCCAGCTGTCCAAGCGGGATCAATCTGATCCGGACAGACAATAGCATCAGGATACGGTGGCTCCGGGAAGTTCAGTCCCCCACACTCATAAGCTGCTATCGTAACAGCTGCTATATGTGGCCCCAGATAAAGCACAAAAGTGTGCAAACCAGTGCCAAATCCCACACTCGATAACACTCCCAGACCCACCCAATAAAGCCACCAAAGAAGACTATTTTCCCACTCCTTCAGCAGCTCCTGATGAGGCCCTGCCACATGCCTGAAGACAACTAACACAGCTATAACAAGTAATCCACTCCAAACAGTCTTCTTATACTGCAACATTCTATGTGCTAAACTGACAATGTTAATGAACAGTTCTCTGATAAAATAATTTAAAGTCGTGATTGGACGATGCCAGAGGGTTAAGCTGTCTGGATCTATCGAGTCGGTTTCACTTTTCGTTCTGTTTTTTGACCCTGTTGATCCCTCGTCGGTCGGCAATTTCTGGGTACCATTGGAATTACTCAACTCCTTCCCTCGACGAATTGTTTTGCCCTCCATATTCTCTTCTAATCGAGTTATCTGGAAATTAATGAATACTCGTTAATTGCGATTGTCATTCGTATTCGATCACCTCCTTTCCTCATTCAACTTTAAAAAAAAGACAATTAGAGTTGAAAAATGTGTGATTAATTAAAAAAATTATAAAACAGAAAACGTGGAAAGAAGCTTTGGAGTAGAATAAACAAATAAATATATATGAATCAAGATAATTACGGCAGAATCATTGGGACTCATGTCAATAATCAAATAATCCTCAAGTCTATCGCACTCCAACGGCGCAAGTAGTACATTTTTATTACAAAAATTGTTAACCCTAGCACGATTGTACATTTAGATCTAATGTTCGAGCGGAATTGAATTGATTAAAACACTAGAGAGGGTTACAATCACGTTGAAGTGACTACCATGTGGGGAGTGATTGGAATCAACAGTAAGTCGTTCTGAAGCCGTGGCATGGCGAGGAGTCGGAGGTCATTTACGAGTCAAGGGTCATACTCCCTGTTCCCCCTCTCTCGTTCCCTCATTTTCGTAAATTTGTATCAGTCAAACTCCTATGGGAGCTGTTACCAAATGCTATTATTACTCTAAGGCGTACGCATTTGTCTACTGCTAAGTTAATCTTGCGATAAATTTTCCACTTTATCGTCATCGCCAACTTTGCAAATAAAGGCGCATAAATTGAAAAAAATAAATAAAAGTGAACTGAAGACGGGGCTATATTTCATTGCGTGACAGCATTGTGAAAAATTTTTCAGTGATAATAAAAAAAATATGCAACTAATATTTCAGAGTAAAAATCAGGTGTTTGGGTGTTGAAAATAAACTTCTGTGGTACTAAGGAAAAGAGAATTGGTTTTCAGAGTGGGAAGTCAATTTTTTGGGTGTTGAAAAATCACAAAAATACATCTGAACGATGGAAAAAAAATTGAACCATGCGTGTAGACACATATTGTACCATGTCAGATTTGTTCCCAGAGACAGGTAGACCACGTTCCCTCAGTAAGATTCTAAGACGATCCCTTGTCATTCGTCCAAGCTCGGTGGAATTAAATTTCGCACTCGTTTCGTGTCCAGTACTGTCTGGATCCTCAGCTGTATTACCAGCTCCACTGGACTTTCGACCTACCCTCCTTCTCACCATTGCCACGCTATATTTTTTATATTTATTTTGTTAATAAACTTCAGTGACTCGTTTCAACCTCTTGATGTTCAAATAACCCACAATAATTTATTTATATTATTATACGTCTAATTGTTCTTGTAATTGCAACAGAGGTGCTTCATGCCAAGGATAAACCTCCCGAAGAATTCGATTAAAAAATCTTGATGGATTACAGCGCAAAACTTTCGTGAAACTCCATTATTTCTTTGAGGTTATCCTTCAATAAAACTAGAGGATTATAAAAAAAATGAAGACATACAATATCGAATTAATTCACATAACCAAGAAGTGAAAGTCGTGGAGCGAGTGAAAGTGTACATTGAATTACAATCGTTTCGCTCGAATAATCAGGAATAATGAGAAAAAATGAGAAATCAATTAGTGAAAAATGAATGAAAAAATATACTCAGAACAAAGAAATGATAGGGTGCTAGAGATAAAGGGACACGTAAGAGCTGAATCGAGGTAGCTGATTCGGCAGTTTCACAAAAGACAATACAAAAGTAAATAATCCTGAACAATGAACAAAAAACATTTACCTTACTCGACAATTGAATATTTGCTACTTAAGTTTAATAATTTTTTCTATTTTTTGGCGGGATGTCAGTCTGCTAGTATCATTTGTTAAAGATGATAAATTGATGATACAATATAATCCTTGAGTTACACGATTATAAAGCCACGTCGATCACATAACACTGTTGAAGTCCCGAAGCAGTGTATCCGAACGAGCCACGATTGGTTTTAACTCCGCATTGATAACTTACAAGTGTCGTATGCCCATACGGCTCCACTAATGTTTCTCTCTTTTTTATTTCCTATACCTATCTAGCGTGATAGTTATAACAGTATCCCACTTATTTATACTAACATATACCTATTAAATTAAACTCGGGCACTTGCAATGAACGACAGAATAGCTCAATCCCCGGCCTATTCCCAGCCATCTGTGCACAACAGATTCACGCACTCATACACATTTATCATTTTTCAGCGATAGACTCACCGCCAGAGGGGCCAGGGCGGGCGGGAAAGTCCCGCCTTCGTTTGGATTGTTGTAGGGGAGGGCGGGGTAATATGGACACCTGTGGTAAAATGGACACTCAAAGAATTAACAAAAAAAAATTTTTTTCATCATTCAAATTTATTTAACTTGTTTCATTGGACAATCTGGACACCTGATAAATCCATATAGGATGGACTAAAAAGACCCGAAAAAGTTGATCCTATGCAAAAAATCAAAAAAAATTTCAACAGGCATTTTCCAACAGAATCGTGTGGGTATTTTTTATAGGGAGACATTCGAGTTGGAAGAAATATTAACAAATAAACTTGAACTCTATTGAATTTTACATTGAAGTTTGAAATACAGAGTAGCTTTGGATTTCCTGTTTTACTATTGAAATAACTTTAAAATTATTCATTTTTTCAATGAACAATTGCACGCACTATACAACTGACCTTTTCTCCATTTGCGAAATTTGTAAGATGTTTACTTGTCTACTTTTCTACTCACAAACGAAACAATGGGGGGAGGGGAGGATAAATGAGCAAAGAAAAATTTGGTTTACCACCCCCCACGAGGAAAATAAAAAATTAGTTTTTTTTTTCAATTTGAAAATCGCAGTCATGACTAGTGTTTCTGAAATTAAATAATATTGTGGAAACATAAGAAATTGAGGGAAAAATCAAAGTGTCCATTTTACATATTTGTTTTTATAATCATTAAATGAACTCGAAACTGTAGATTTGCTCAAATTCAACTCATTATTTAAATCTGGTGTCCATATTGCCCCACCCTCCCCTATACCCTTGAGTTTAATGAAAAACTAGGGGAGGTTGGGGTAAAACGGACACTTTTAACTTTTTTTAAAATGTTAATGAGGGGTTGAAATGTTGATAAAATTTCATAATTTTTTTTTCAATGCAAAGAGCAATTCTTTCCCTTCGGTGACGGGCCTAATCTGAACTCAATTGATAAATTTGTTTCTGAGTTATGCACAATTTAAAAGATGTCTAAAGTGTCCATTTTACCCCAGCCTCCCCTATTCAATTGAACAACAGATGAAATCGAAATGAACTGAAATTATTCCTAGGAATGGCATAAATATGGAAATTGCTCAACGCCAGAGCCAATTCCGTTTACAGTTTTTTTCGACAAAAAATAGTTGAGTGTATTATTAATATACGAGGGGGTTAGGCCCCCTGCTCGCTCCGCTCGCCAACCCCCATATGGCTCACATATGACCTATATAATCCCTATTCTGACCCTTGTGATCTTTAATCTGACAGTCGTGAACCTCATTATACCTCTCGTGACCCTCAATCTCACTGATAGCACCGTTGAAACTCTTAATCTGACCCTCGTGACCCTTATTCCAATTCTCATGACCCTAATTCTGATTCTCGTGACCCTTATTCTGACTCTCATGACACTTATATCCTCTTATATCCTCACTCACTCATGACACTTATATCCTCTGATCCTCGTGACCCTTATGATCCTTATTCTGACCCTCATGACCATTATTTTGACCCTGATGACCATTATTTTAACCCCCGTGACCCTTATTTTGGCCCTTGTGAGCCTTAGTCGGACCTTCATGAATCTTGTCGTGATCCTCGTGATCCTTATTCTGACCCTAATGACCATTACTTTAACCCCCGTGACCCTTATTTTGACTCTTGTGAACCTCAATTTTGGAGTCTTAATTTCGAGTACCCAAATTTTTATCACCAGAAGTCAATTTGGATTTTTTTTTCTTCCTGGACTGCTATTAATGAATTTAAACCTCTTTTCCTTCTCAAGGCATGTTAATTTAAAAATTAAATTTATCAAGGTATTAAAATTAAATTCAAGAGTGCATGGTAAGGAAATATGGAAATAAAAAAACATAATATGGAAAGAAAAAAACATAACTAATTCATGAATTGAGATGTTTCAAATTATACAAATTATTATTATACATAATAATAATACGATAAAATTTGTAATCCCCAATCCTCATTTTTTTGTCATTTATTCTATTCATTCTATCAAAAGAGAAGGGTAGACACGGAATTTATATGTATTCTTCTATTATTCGAAAAAATATATCGATTTTTAAACTTTCCGGAGACATTGAAAAATTAATTTTTTTATTTCTTCTCGCCTACGTTTTTTGGGATATTTTTCATTTCGTCTCGTTAAAATTAGATCATAAAATTCCAAAATATTCATATCTCGCCTATATTCGGAAAAAACAGTGATTCCAAGTTTCCATCGACACAAATGAAGAAAAACTAATTTTCCCTATTTTTTAGCCGATCATCCTTTTTTAAAAATTTTCAGTCTTCAATTCGTGATTTTTACAATCCATTGCCATTTGCATAATTCTATTCATTCTATAAAAAGATAAGAATCGAAATCGAATTTATAGGTATATTCTTTCATTATTCGAAAAAAAATCGATTTTAAAACTTTCCGGAGAGATTGAGAAATTAATTTTTCCATTTCTTCTCGTTAAATTTAGATCATAAAATTAAAAAATATTCATATTGTACCCACATTTATAGAAAAAACAGTGATTCCAAGTTTCCACCGACACGAATGAAGAAAAACAAATTTTATCGATTTTCCAGCCGATCATTTTCCTCCTCAAATGATCATTTCGATCATTTTCCTTCCTCGACGAATTCTTCCCTTTGAAATTAATTTTCCCTACGATTTTTTTCCGTGTGGGATTCTGTTTGGAGTTCTTTTTACTAAACACTAATTGCATTTCTTTTTTTTCTGTCACAAGGGAAAAAAATTAAAAAATATTGGAAATGGTTGACTTAAAGGAAAAACTGAATCTGGATTGCAATTTTGTCTTGTTGTAGATGTTCTATTTAAAAATCTGAAACCTATTTTGACGAAAACATGTTTGTAAATTATTCACGATATTTAGAAATTTTCGACTTTCGGCCCGGGTGGATTATCTTTCGAACGTGATCTTGGTCGTTTTTTGTATTTTAATAATCTGAAATGATTTCCAATTACTATTCAGTTTTACGTAGCCCTGAAATTTCAAAAAAATATGATTGTACAATCAAAAAAGAGTTGAAAAAAGCAGAACATTTTGAAATAGCGTTTCCAATAATATTGAGAAATAAACCCAATAGGGAGGAAATTGCAAATTAATAATATGATGTATCTAATGGCTGTTAGGTCGTCATTTGTTACAGTAGTCAATGACTGTCGAATCGTTAGTTACCATAATAAATTATCCATTCGCTTTTTCCTCTTCATCTGACTTATTTCTTAATCTTCATTAAAAACGCTCTTTAAAAACGTTCAGTTTTTTTACTTTTTTTGATTGTACAATCGTAATTTTTAGGGACTCCTGCGTGACGTAAAATCCAATGGAAATTGTGATATATTTAACATTATGAAGATGGAAGAACAATTGAGATAACGTTCGAAAGATAATCCACCCGGGCCTTAACAAAAAAAAACATAAGAATAATAGTGTATAAAAATAAATTAATCTAATTGTGAAGACGGAAATTGAAATAAAATAGCATAAATTAATCTAGTTAATTCTGATTATAAAAGTAATCCGACCTGTTGTTACCGGAGCGTTAATTTGGTTCGGGCTAACTGAATAAAGACTAATCACATTTTCCTTTTATCCCTCGAATAACATTAAAAAACTCATTTCTGATATCCCCAAAGTTCCGATATTTTTGTACACCTCCTTTGATCAAGTTAACCCTCCAGCGTCTAGTCGTATCCCGAAGGATTTTCCCGTCATTCATCTCCAAGAGAGGGTCAAGGTCCCTGAGAGAATAGATTCACAAATAGAGAAAAACACCCTGGAGAAAGAGGAAAATGAATACGTCCCTGGAAATCCCTCAGAAAGCCACCTGGCGGCAGAAAGGGCCGAGGGGGTGGTTCAGCAAGCTCTCTCTGCTCCTAGTGGAAGTACTGGAAGTGGCTCCGAGTACTGCTGCCCTCAGCACTCAGTGTGACGCGCACGACAGTCATGTATATTGAAAATGAGACGCACACGCAGGAGCAAGGAGAAGGGGCTCGGCAGTAGTAACGGCCACCTGTCGATCGGACAGTAGTCTAGAAGACTAGTCGGTAGACGAGTTAGTGTAGGGAACAATGTAACAGTGAAAATGGAAACGCACACTGAATAAAACAGAGCACACAAGTAAATTAATAAATAAACGATCAAACAAATTCCAAATCATTGCAACTCACTTAAAAAAATCCAGCGAAATAATTGTTCTCATAAAGGATAAAAAATAAAAACTGTCAAACTAATAGAAATAAAAATACAATCGTCGGGGCAGTGGAAATTCACCCTCTCCAAACATTCAAGGCGAAATAGTTGCGTGAGTAGATACGTGTACTTCAATTTCATTCAAATTTAAAATACGTCTTTCAATTTGAATAATTCATTACTCAATATATCTGCCTGGAACATTTTCATTTGCAACAACTCACCGTTTAATTGAACCCCCACCTTCTATTCTCTAATTCAAAATTTCATCAAATTCCTGCTCACGATTTAATTTCCACGAGAATAGCTGACAATGCATTTCTATTGAAAGAGGCAACAGCTGGTTACGCGTGGAAGCCTGTTGACTGTATCCTGTTAAGATAAGATATGAAAGCACCCATAACGACTAACTTTCCCTGTGTGCCTCCCACACTCTCCAACATTCTGCTTTTATCCAGTTCATATTCACTCCCTCATACGATTCTTTTATCTAGTACATAACAATTTAACCGAGTAAAATCATTAATAGCCCTCGTGGTTCATTTCAACAGTCTATAAATACGTTACATGATGTGATACCATAAAGTTGGAAGCGTTCCGTTCTCATATTATAACATACATTTCCTCGATACGTCGATAATTTCAGTCTCTCGTCTCGACGACTTCTACATTCTCATCTTTAATGCTTTTTTTTCGTTATATTTCTCGCCTTTTTTTCTCCTTCATTATCTCATTTCCACGTGCAACTGACGGTATTCCACAATACACAATGGATGGCTCGTGGATGAATGGCCAAAGGAAGCGTGTCTGCTGCCTCATTTAATACAGAAGTATCAGAAAACAATGAACAATGGGGGAGGAGAAAAGGGGTAGATGAAATTGATGAAAACAAAGGGTGGCGGGAGCATTAAGATTATGGTGGGACTTCATTGTTTCGACTTATCGTGGAGATAATGAAAGAAAAATATAACGCATTGAGATACGGAGAGATAATGAATGAAATGAGTAAACAAATACGTACCTATTGATTATAAATATAAAATCGGATGAGTGAACTATATCGGAATGTAACAGAGACTTTGAAATTTTCATCGCGATCGCTCTACAGATTATGAAGAAAAATCCTCATAAAAATTTAGCCATCGCCCCTTGGATTTATCAAAAATTTATCCAGGGGTGAACTCATCCTGTTTCACCACCTTAAGACTGAAATGAAAGACCGTCAAAATTCTTAGGAAGTACCCGATCTAAAAATAGCACGGGAAAAACGTTCTCATTACAACGAATATGCCACTCACATGAAAACCCGATCGAGATCAAATTTCACATAATCTCAATCTCGCCACCAAAACCCATTACCCTTCAAATTACCGATCAATATCTCCAGTCAAGCATGTTCCCTCCTCTAATCCACTGCACTTTACCTAAGAGGTAAAAAATTCCCATAAAAACATAATCCGAAAAATCTTGCTAAAGTAGTTAATTCATGAAGATAAGGCTAAAGATTTTCTGGAAAATCCAGGCATGAATAATTCCACCCCGACGAAAACCGGAAGGAAATCCATGGTGGGCACGAGAGCTAGGAGTAGGTGCTGAAAAGAAAAAAAAACAAAAAAAAGGAAGAGGGATAGGGGTGAAGGTAACAGGACAGGAGGAAAGCGGTGGTCGCACGCACTCTAGTTTCTCCAGCATTTTCCCACCCGACTCTGGTCGTTCAAGGTTGACCTTGAACGGCAACAGTATACACCGGTGCGCACACATGCGGGAGAGGAAGGAGTGGTGGGGAAGAAGAGGTGAAATGCCGGCGTGTGGCGTTATGGGGCCAGGGTCGGACGGTAACGCCAGGCCTTCTTCCCTCCTATTCCGCTATTTTCATGGGGGAATATCACAGGGACAGACAAGGAGAGAGCTCAATTGGGTCACCCGGGCAAAATGTATATACAGCACTGCGCTCCCGAGTCCTTGCTGTCCTCTCTGTCGCTCATATACACAAATCACTTCCTCTCCTGCCGGTTTTTTTCTCTTCAACTCCCATTCTTCCTGAAATAAAAGTTGTATCATTGCAGGAAGACATTCGCATGTTCCACCCAGTTTTCACGTAGTCATTTTTATTCTTCTGCCTCACTGATTGTTGACCTCAAACGCTTCATTCTAGTGTTGCCACTGCCAATGGACTGTTGCCGATACTCACTGGCAAATTACAGCGGAAATAACTGGTTCTTGATGAAAAAGTTCCGGCTTTTCATTTCTCCTCACTCAACTATTTTCATTGTTATTTTTTTCTCTCTGTTATTTTTTTCGCTCCCTTTGGGAGGAAAGAATGCGCTCATTTAGCGGCGGGAGGTGGGGGGAGTGCAGAGTTTCGGGATGAAATATCTACCCTCTTGTGCAACATAACTGTCGATTGGTTTATCGAGCATTTAATTAAAATCTATTGGGTTAGGTCTTCGTTATCTATGAGGTTTGATCGTTTTAATTAACTTTGAATTATTGAGTGAGGCTTTTAGTATGCCAATTGGGCCATTATTGTAGTTTATTAATCCAGCGATGAGATTGTTGAATTTAGGACTGAACCGGTAATATGAGTACATCAATATTTTTGGATGGTAATTATGAATGACTGGAGCCATGGTTTATTCACTGTTTCAGTAGTACAGATCAAACATGCCTCCGACGAGATGATTCGAGGAATTTTGGTGATTGTTCATCGCCGTTGATGCGGCCGGGAGTTAATTTCAAAAGTTTATCATGGATACGAGTTACTATTCCGGGGTTAAGAGGAGTGGGAGTGGACGATGGGTTTGCCCCAATGATAGGCAGCTGGCTTTGAGAGCAAAGTGAGTTTATAATTAAAAATTTAAAAGGAACACGTTATCTCATCTCTTCGAAAGCGATTAATACCGTTTGTGAATTTAATTGCGATTTTTTGTCAAATAGAAACCTCCGGGAAAGCATTTAGTTTGTTATTTTAATGAATGGCATTTTTTTAACGCAATTAAAAATTGATTAAGCCAATGATTTTTTCAGTGGAATTATTTTTATTTTTTTTAGTGAGGTGGGAAACATGTTGTTAAACCCATTAATTTGACAAACTAATTGCTCCAGTGGCGAACTGTAAGCATAGGCCAAAATTGACATTCTCGTTAGTGACGTATTTGTTTCGCAAACAACTGACATTTCGATGAATCATTTCCAAGTGATAAAGTTTCTGACAAAATTTCGTGATATTTTTCCCGAAAGCGACGGAGGGGGAGGGGGTGTTGCTTATATTGTGATGTCACACCATATGCTTTTTTTAAATTTCGAACATCAGGAATGCGTCTTTTCGTCATTTACTCCGTGAGGCAGCGATTCGCGGTCGCTCAGCGTCCAAATGACAACTGCGGACAAATAACAAAATAGCATATTTCGACATTAGGCCGAAAAAAACTTTTTCGCCACGGCGGGCGGAAAAGAAATATTTTCACAAAATCTGCCTTTCCGCTTTACGCCTTTCCGCTTACGCCGTGGTGAAAAATAACGTTCTCACCACGGGAGGTAAAATAAAGGACTCTTACCCGCGTGGTTACCAGTAATTCTGAACGTGGGCACGACTCCTTTATTTTCCCTCCCTTGGTGGGGAATGTACTATTTTAGCGAATATGAATTAAATCATATTAGTAGCGAAGTGGTAAAACGGTTTAAGTCGACTCATCTCCCAGTGGAGTTTTTGAGGAATATTTCCGAATCTAAGGGAGATAGCGAAATTTTGGTAATAACATTTATTGTAGCTCTCAATCGGCTCTACAAAAAAAGTTATAACAAAAATTTTGCTATCTCCCTTAGATTCCGAGGTATTCATTGAAAACTGACCAATAGTCAAATAGTATTTTTCCGGCCTGTTGCGATGGGGTTTTTTACTCGTGTGGCGTTGGCCTCCGAGCCGTAGGCGAGGACTGGCCAACCACACGAGTAAAAAAACCCCATCGCAACAGCCCAGGAACAATATTTTTCTGTAGTGATTTTCAAGTTTTCGAGTTTGCGAAGTATGTAATACCAATTCCCAGACGAGAAATCATGAGAAGCAGTACAGAAAATTGACTTTTACTGTCCCAACCACGTCGAAGAAAGAAAAACACTCATCAAGGAGGTCAGCAAGAGCAACCCCAGACCACTGAATATTCAAGATGTCCTAAAGTCCCTCAGAAGAAAAGACATTAAAGCTATTTCAAAATTCTTCCCGTTCAAAATTGTTCAATTCAGATATAAAATATGTTTAACAAAGATACTGACTAATTAACTAATATTTAGAGACTATTACAATTTATATATTTTACTAGTATGTAATGATAAATTGTAATACATTTATTGATAGCTGAATGAACCCGAAAGGGGTTTGGAAGCTAAATAAAAAATCAAAAAATTGACTTGTACCGTTTTACCACTTCGCTACTGACATGAGCTAGAAAAGTTTTTTTAGGCTGTATGACGAACAATATTTTTTTGTCATAACGACTGTAAGCAGCGATTCACGGACGTGTAGCGCTGCCCTACGGCCGGAATGCCAAAATAGTATATTTCGATACGAGTGAGACAGAATTTTCACGAGTGTGAAGTTGGCGGCCCGAGGCGAAGCCGAGGGCTCCCAATCACACGAGCTGAAAATTCCTGTTTCACATGTGTCGAACAATAGTTTTTGACAGTGATGTTACGTTCAGCGAGTGGCGAACTGTGCCTTTTTTCGTTTACTAGTAAATGAAAAGACTTTTCGTTTACAAGTAAACGAAAAGGCACTTTTCGACACGAGGTGAACGTAGCAGCAGTGTCAAAATAGTATATTATGTCATCAGGCGATAAAAATATTATAATGCCACATTCGCCAGATAATGCTTTTATCGCCGTGTGACATACGATATTTTATGTCGTTGGGCCCGAAGCGAAGCGAGGTTAGAATCGCGGTTTTTTCGGGTCTAACGACATAAAATATTCTTTCGGCCTAGTGACGAAAAGTACTATTTTTCATCCGTCCCTTCCACGAAAAAAAACCAGACATGAACCTAGAAAGAAAGCTAAAAATGTGAGATGTATTACGCAGATCTCTGCAATTGGAAAGAGCAGCGGCGACACTGTGGTGTGATGGCAGTTATTCCAAATGTGCGTTCTGTGCGAATTGTCGTCAACCGTCAAACGGAACTTTTGGCAGTCACATGTAATATTGAAGACGACGAAGATGAAGAATGGAGGGATGAAGCGTTCATTGATCAACAACGTCTGTTCGTACCAGGGTTTTCAAACGACCCTTCACTGATTTTAATGAAAATTCATTCAACTGCCCATGAGATTAATTATTTGAAGAATTTTTTTTCTCCCAAGTGTCCCAACGATTCGCAAACAGAAATTGTTCTTTGAATGCTGTGATAATAAGTTGACATATTCAAAAAGCATCGAAGAAAGAATTGATTATTCACGTGATTTTTTTTACACTAAAAAAAAATACAAAATTGTTCTCTACATAAAGTAGGGGGAGGAGTCATTGATTTTGTAATGTAATATACAA